CGTTGTCAGTAGGGATGCTTTATTCAATGAATTCAGATCATTGAATGGGGACTAAAAATGTAGACGTCCGTTACTAACAAAAGCAAGACTTTTGTCATTGACACTGTTGAGGGGAGATTGATATTGACATCATTGATGATGGACCACAAAGAGAGGTTCCACTTTTTTTGCGACAAGAGGAGCTGATTGCTAATGAGCTTGCATCAGAACCAACACCATCACAAATTGATCAACCGGCATATTCATCAAAATGACAGTTGCGAAGTGCAACTGAACGTCAAGCTCATGCTAGATATGACACTTGGTGTGATTTTTCAGTTATTGATGATATTAAAACTGATGTTGAGGATTCACGTGACGCCTTGATCACAAAAAATGAAGATCCATCTTCTTTCTCTAAAGCTTAATTTTCTAGTGAGAAGCAAGAGTGGAATGAAGTGATGCAGAAGTAAATGAAATCATTAATTGCTAACAACACTTGGAAACTTGTTGAGTTGTCCCAAGGTAAAAGAGTGGTAGATTGTAAGTGAGTTTATAGGAAGAAGTATGTATCCATAAGATACAAATGAGAAAATCTACACGTCTAGATTGATAGCCAATGAATTCACACAACACAAAGGTGCGAATTATAATGAAGTTTTTTGCATTAGTAGCAAACAACTCTACAATACGTTTGTTATGTGTTCTTGTGATTTTACATGATCTAGTTTGAGAGATGTATGTACATATTTTTTTTTGTCTCTATGTACTACTCAATGAAGTGATATTCATGCGACAATCCAAAGATTTTTTCATGAAAGAAAAGGAAGGCATATTATGCAAGTTGTTTAAATTGTAATAGATATAAATTGTTTAAATCAAAGTCTTAGACAATGAAATAAACGCTTCAACAACTTCATGCACTCACAAAGATTTTTACGGAGTTTATATGATTTTTGTGTTTACTTGATGCGACATTTGTGCTTATCATTCTTAAAATATATGTTGATGACATGCTTATTGCAGCTTCCAGAAGATCCGATGTTGATAAGTTGAAGTCTTAGTTGAACTCAACCTTCAGCATGAAGGATCTAGGTTCAGTCAAGAAGATTCTTGATATGAAGGAATTTTGGGATCAAAAAGCAAAGAAACTTTGGTTATCTCAACAGAAGTATGCACATAAGATGCTTGCCAAGTTCAACATGATGGAAGCTAAAAATGTGAATATTCCATTGGTTGCTCATTTTTTATTTTTAGCAGCGCAATATCTTATAGATGCGGTTGAAAAAGTCTTAATGTCTTCTATTTTCTTATCAATGAGATGAGATTGCCTCAGCAAGATGTCAATCTTCATTATGATAGTCAAAGTGTGCTTCACCTTATTGAAAATCAGATGATTGATAGTAGGATGAAGCACGTTGACATCAAGTATCATTTTATCAAGTAGGCTGTGATAGTCAAAGTGTGCTTCACCTTGCTGAAAATTAGATGATTGATTGTATGATGAAGCACATTGACATCAAGTATCATTTATATTGTCTGTGTTTGAAAACACGCTTAAGCTCATCAAGATTGATGGAGAGTTTAATCCGACAAATGGCTTTATCAAGATAATAACTTCTGATAAGTTTTCAAGACACTGTGAAACTTTGCAGACTTTGCAGGATCTTAGTTTGATTAGATGATAGTCTATATTTATATAGTTTCTCTCTTATGTTGTCAACTACGGCTTAGTTCAAATTAATACTTGTTCGTGTAGAAAATACTATGATTTAGTTTTACTTTTAAAAACTTCTTGTTGAAACTACATATAAATCATGAAAACGGTCTTCTTTCTTCTAAGATTAAAATTAAGGGAGGATTTTGTAAGGTTAACTCACGTCGTGTTGATACTAGTTAGTCCAACCCTTATTTGGCTTGGCCTCTAGTAAGAATCTACCATACTTAATCTGAGGATAAGCACGTTTCTATTTCATTCTACATCGCTGTGGAGAAATAGTGGAAAGCTTGACTATAGAGGCCTGATGTACATTCTCGCTTTAGTGAAGCTCTTTATCTTGTCCGTGGACGTAGCCACATGTGGAGGTGAACCAAGTATATTGGTGTGTGATTCTCGTGGAGTATTCTATGCATGAACTTGTCCAAAGAACAGAGCTGAGATCCACCAAGTGTGGATCCAACAAAGTTTGATCAAATTGAGGGAGTAAAATGATAGTCAAGTATCTTTGATCAAACTATCTTTGTGATATAAAATCATCAAAGATGATAGTCAAGTAAAGAACTTCAACCTCTAGAACAAAAAAAATTGTATACAAAGTTTGATTTCTAACATCCAAATATTCTTGTAAGAAAATCTTTTGCATACTCTCCAAGAGCTCCCAACATGTCTTCTTACAACTAAAAACCCACACTTGGATTTTATATAAGATCATTTACAATATTAAACTTGTAAACAAGAATTTTCTAACATTTCTCTTCCATCAATTTAATAATGAATATAGAGCTTTATAATTAGCTTCTTTTTGCATGCAAAGTGCTCAAATATAGTTATGAGAGAAACTGATGCGTAGATATTTTTAACTCTTCAATTATTTTAATTGTAGATGTCCAAATATAGTAATTGGAAAAATTAATGAGTAGATATTTATAACTCTACAATTGTTCTAATTGTACATGTCTAACTATAGTCATTAGAGAAATCTATGCATAATTGTTTTTGGCTCTTCATTTGTTTTAATCGTAGATATTTGTAAAAGAATGAGATGTTGGTTCTAGTGCCTAGTATAATGACTTCTCCATATTAATCTCCATCTAATTTTGAATACAAAACCTTGCCAAAGTGTTAAATTGTTTTTGTAAACTAATGTCATCATGCGTTGGTGATATGATATCATCTTCATGCAATAGAGCTTTGATGAAAAAAAATTCAATCTTGATACTTTCACTATCACTTTCTTCAACCATTTTTTGATATCATTTATGAAAACTTAAAATAGAATAGGAGAGAGTAAAACCTTAAAAGACTTTCATGGTATTCAAGATCTTTTGAGTTTGAGATGAGTTGATCTTGATTTGGATAGAATGATATAACATGAATATGGTTGCTGGTGGTACTGTAATGGCTTACAACCTTTTTCCATAGAAACTTATAGATATAATGTCAGTAACTTTCTAAAAATGAAAGAAACCGAAAAATAAAGATTTTCCATTAACTTAAATTTTCTACCATAAAACATGTCAAGGCCAAGATATAGTCGATGATGTTGTATGTTGGACAAAAATCAGCTTGGATCAATGCTCTTTTTGAAAAGATTTTGTCTATATGTTCAATTTTGACTCCATCAATTTTCCAAACAATTTGGCAAAAACACTACACACCATGATAACAAGATAGTTTGTCACCAAGTATTTTTTTCTAGATTTCTAACAGTAACAATCTTTCTTAGTTACAAGATATCACATATATTATCATCTTTCAATACTTTAGTAAGAATTGATACAATATAATGTACTCTACATTTAAAATGTTTGAAAGAATGATCATACAAATACTCACATTTATCATTTGCTATTTTTTTGAGTTAAATCATCATCGTTGCTCTTGAAAATAATCATAGATGTAACGACGGAGAAGAGATAGAACTTTTTGGAAAAAGATATGAATGACTTGTAATCAAGAATAGGTTTTGAAGATTATCCTAGTAACTCTATTCAAAATGATTTGGAATTCTCCTACATCTACCTTGTCAAAGATTCTTGCTTCTGTCATAAGAAATACTGTTTGTAAGATTTTACCAAGGCTTTAAAAAGTCTACTCATAATAAGACTAACTTGAATACTTCCAGATTTATCATTTGATGTCCCCATTGTTTACTTGCATTAAAAATCAAATCATCCATTGCAAGGCAGACTATTATCACTACCATACCTAAAATAACAAAAATATCAGATAAAATATTTTTGAGCAGTTTGATTAGTTGCATCCTTGTTGTATGTGGATGTGTACTCCGTACAATAAGAGAAAAAAATATTGTAAATATAACATTTTTAAAAAAATTTACTACTATCTAAGCAAAAACTTGGAAAAAGCTAAATTGAATGACAAGTCAAGCAAATAATCAATTTTGACAAAGACAGAAAAAAATGAAATTTGATGTGATTTAGACTAAGAATCCAAAATATCAAACAAAAAATAAAAAAACTACTAACAAAAAGACTACAATTGATTACATTCAAGTAAAAAATCTAAAATGTCAAATATAGAGATTTTATAGAGATATAAGAGAAGAAAGACGTATCGGAGTGAAAGTTGAGATGTATACAAAAATTTCAAATGTTTAAAAGATGATAAATCCTAAACCCCGAACTTTATCCACAAACTAAGGCTGTTGTATATCATTTCCCTTCAAATTTGACATTTCACTTTGGAATATTGAATCAAATCTTTTTGACAAAGTAGAGTTTTTAAGTTACATGTAGACTACTTAAATTCTGCATTTTGTAGAAAGGTTTCTGCCCTCCCTGATATAGAAAGTTGGAAGAATAGTGATAATCAAGAAAAAAAATTCTATTTTCTTTATTCTAACATTTATTTTTGAATATGTTACTCTTGCTCTTACTTCAACAAGACAACAAACAAATTTCTTGTTGTATCCACCGGTAAGGTTTTATGAAAATTAGTTGATAATAAATCACCAAATTTTATTTTACACTAAATGTCGAGATTAATCATTAAGCAATAGTTAGGGTGTTCTTGGAGATTAAATTAAAAAGTCGTATTTACAAAAAGTCCTCAATGATAGTTCAGACGATTAGGGCATGGATGCTGGGGTTACTCGCTCAAAAAACACATCAATAGATATCTATGGGGATCATCAAGGCCACAAAGATCCGCTTGATGATGGTCTTTGCTTCTAATCTGCAGCTGCAAAAATTCGGTCTATTCATCCTCGCAAGAAATCTATCAAGATTTGGAGCAATATCAAAAGAGGTCGTGAAGATAATTGTACTCTTTTACAACTAACACATTAGTTTGTAAATCTAGGTGAATCACACAGGCCATCCAACAATTCTGTCATTGGCAAATCTTCATATGTCTCTCGACCTTAATGTAAGTCGATGTATCTAGAATATGCTGAATCCCACAAATAATCTCCAACTCCAGTACGTAATGCAAGAACTGGGATCTGCTGTCTCACGGACACTCTCAGGGATGTCACCGTCTGTTCGATATTTTCTCTCGCACTCTGATGAGCTACAACAAGAAGAACAAGATATGGATTTGAACTCTTCAGGGTACCTCAAGATTCACAACAAAAGCGATCCCAAAATTGCACTCTGCCAAATTAGTCCCCTCACCTTCCCGACAACTAAGGATAAGAATTTGGACAGAATTAGCAGAAGTCGCGAGCAGGGAAAGTGAAACACTAGACGCATCGTACAGCGTCCGGAAAGGATATGTTGCAGACATTCACTATCGTACCGAGGAAAGGATCAAGATGCTGACTGACATAAGAATTTAGGGGCTGTGGACACCGTGTTCATTCAGCATGCATAAACTCGCTTCCACTACCAGCAAGCTTCGTTAGCTATTATGCAAAATCACGTGTACTACGGCAGGATAGTTCTGCATATCTAATAGTTCTGATAGTTCTCAGCCAAAACCCCGTGATAGTACTGAAGACAAGCTCTTCTTCTTCGTAAGGCTGTGGTAGACAAAACAGGGCAACCTGTTCCTGGACTGACAAGAAATCTGATTGATGGTAATTCCAATTGGCAAAGAATCTACCGATTTCTAGAAATCAGGGACATATCCTTCGACGTTGGTAATTCGGAAACTGTCAGGAACTTCTACTCGGAATTATCGTTTCCTTCAAAATCCTCGTGTCAATATGTACAAATCTACAGAATCGCAATCTTTACTTAGTCTCAATCCCATCGAGGATGGGAGCTGGTAAGCATAAATCCAGCATATTCTGAGGAATATTTACGTATTTGAATAAAGAAAGCAGCCATGCCGCGGCTGTAGGTACCTGGTCCAAGTAGTTGAGTGTTAGATTCCATGCCACAATGATTATGCAAACATGGCGTAAATAGTTACAAGGAACGATTAAAATACAATTAAACTAGTAAGACGGGAATAAAAGATAGCACATCGCATAAATGAAAATAAATACCTCCGAAGGTAATTCAAGTGCTTTTTTATCTGAGTTCGTGCCCATTGAAGAGTGCTCTATATGTGTTTGAATATATTGGCCCAAGTACTGCGCATCAGAAAAAGCCTTATTTGATAGTATTCAATGTCAAATATTGACATCAAGGGACAAAACTGATTCTATCGCATAGCGACTAAAGATCCAAAGACGCGAGCATTGTAAGCACTCCAATCAGACTTTATGCTGAAATTCCTCACTTGCCTGTACATAAGAAATGATATGCGACGGATGAAACTGCTGGAGAAGAGTACCAAAACCTACCACCTGGGACAGCAGAAAATTTCATACAAGCTTAGGGCTCCTAATAACAGTTTCATTAAAAACTTAAGCTGCTTCTCCAACTACTGAACTTCAGGTTTACTTGATTCAACTGCATCCCAACTACTGAATACTTGCCTACTTCTTCAGCACAGACACGACGATCTAATGGTTTGATTAAATTCGACATCGGCTTTAAGATCAAGATGGCTAGTAACAACTATCGAAGAGAATTCTTGCTCATATGGTTTAACCAAATATATACCATATATTCTTGCTCATATATGTAGTCAACCTATGTTAGCAACAAATACCAATAGTTGACCAAAGAAAAGTACTCCCAAGGACCAAGCAGAAAGAAGAAAAATTTGCAATCTACAAGGCAGATTGTATGTTGAAGTTGATTTCAATTGAAGTATTACCAAAGGGCAGCAGTCTAGCGCATTCTTCTTCGTTTTGCTCGTTAAAGTGCCGAGGTGGCTGTCAAGAAGGTATCTTGGTAGCTACACACGTAAGAAGTTATATTTTTTTTGTCAACTTTCTTAACATAATAAAACTGATGCTAGCAAATAAAAAGTTTACTTTGAGGAATAGGATAACTCCCCCTCTGCCCCAAACATCACTCCGACTTTCATGAAGGCAAAAAAAATTGAGAACAGACTTGCGGTAGTCAAAGTACTTCAAAAGGGAAGAAAACGATCTTCTTTGGACATCAATTTTGTTCATCATTGTTCAAGTTCTCAGAATCTAGACTGCTGCTTTGACTTACCCGAGAAAGTGTGACGAGAAACAGTATCAGTGACAGGTATTCTGGAGGAGGAGATGTAATGTAGATGGCACAGTGTGGTGAATGAAGTCCACACATCTGCAGCTGCTTCCTCAGTTCGACTAGAAGTTTAGTCTTGCCTTCTCCAGAAAGAGGAGTTTGGTGTATGTCGTTCTGGACAAACTGATAACATTGTTATAACATTATTACTTATCATTGAGATCAAAACTGTCTTATTCACTATTTGAGATGATCGACTGGACTAAATAGCACATAAAAACATGAGTAATGATGATCCGAGAAAAAAAAGATCAGACAAACAATTTTCTGAGTAAAACGAAATGTAGCGAGGAAACAATGTCTAACTGGCTGTATACCTACTTTGCTGGTATTAGTGATGGCATCAAGAACAGCAGCATTTAGACCTTCTAACCCAAGGGAAACGAGGCCCGCATCAACCTGCATTCCACACCTTTTGCAGATCAGGGCCTGTAGAGCTGACTAACTATATCTTATTATGCAACAGAACAACCGTTAAGATTATGAATGGATTATTAAACTGGAGTAAAGCGGCAAAGTTTACAAGCATTTTAGCATAAATTATTAGGTGCTTATCTCCTTACTCTTCTTTTGCATGTAAATTTGCCTCCAAAGAAGAGGCAACTGATCACCAATTTTACATTCGCAGAAGGAAAGTTACAACGAAGTGAATCTAATTAATATACGTAATGTACGTTCTGGTGAATGAAAGACATGAAATAACCTTGGATGCAGCTCGCAAATGTGATGCGATAAGAGTCCGAAGCATCTGGATCTGTCCAATTTGCGCAAGCTTCTCCACCCAGGAAGACCATACTTGATGATTACTTAACTTTGCAACCAACTACAGAACAAAGGTCCCGATAATAAGCATGTGAAGAAGATACAACATTTCGTAAAGTTCCACACTTACATACGTCCTCGGATATCGTTGGGATGAAGAAAGCAACATGAACTGTAAACAATTTTGTACTTCCAAATGTTGGCAAACCACGGACCTCATTGTAAACTAAGACACCTGCATCTGGAATTGCGGAAGGGGGTGACAAAGAACCTTCAAGGTTCCGCAATTTACCGACGAGTTCATCATCCACCTGCAATATCCTCAAAATCAGTCACAAGTACTGCACGCTATAGGCTCTCAAAAATCCTTGTGCGATAATAAACCCTTCAAAGGAAAGAGACTGACACAAACAGACCTAAAATTCTGTCATGAAAGACTCTATATCATTCTCTAAATGGAAAAATATTCACAGCAGACCTGTTCACTGAGTACGTTCAGAACGTGCTGAAGACTATTAGCTGCATTGAAACTTAGAAGCCGATCGATCCCTGCCATTCCCGTAGGACCCAAACTGTATTCAAGGAGGAGACAATTTAGAGGTAGAAAAAAGTTGGTCGTAAGAAGATTGCATGACAACAGATACTCTCAAGGTAATATCTCGAGGCTACTTGAGTTCCAAAAAGCCTTCACAGACCTCTAACCTTGGTTATACCACCGACAAATGGTACATTCCTTTGTTTTGTGGAATATAGGCTGAAGTATATAACTTATGAAACGCTTGAAACTCAGGATAGCATTCTTACGTCATCTCATGAGATGGGTATTAACAGCCTGCAGAGGTTACTGAGTGACGAATGAAAGTGCATATCCTGATGCTAATCAGTTAGCTGAGGTGCAGATAAGGAACACAGGACGTATAACCCTGGACTCACCTCGTCTGGAGCAGAGTAAAAGTATGCAAACCAACAAGCTCGTGACCATCAGCATTGAACCTAAACAAAAACAAAAGCAAATATCATACCCCACCCATGACGAAGACGACGTATCAAAGACAAAATATACTACAGAAATGTGAATACTGAGCTTCAATTTGAAAAAATGGATATACTAAGCAGGCTGAAAGCAGTACACACCAGCCACTCATAGGTGCAAGATACATGGATCGAGTCGGATGCGTCAAATTCAATAACTTCTTCACGAGTTGGCCTGATTGGAAATTATAAAACGATTCAGAACTACGCACAGGACACTGAAAACGATAAAAACAGAGGAACAAAAGATAGAACCTCAAACTTACCCATAAAGGTGGGTGACCTGGACAAACCCCTGTCTGTTCCCATATATGAAGAGATTGGCACCGTTGTACTCTGAAGCGCACTTTCCCAATCTTTGACTTTTCGTTTCAAGAAGACGTTGCATTCCTGAGTATCAACTAATCCATTAATGCAAGTCTTGTCTTATTTCACCAGACGAACTAAATGTAGGCTTTCATGCCAACTAACTCTAATTGCACAAGCACTGTACTCAACTGTACCCTCGAAGACACATGACAAGAAAGAAACGAGGGATGATCAAGGAAAAGGAGTGGACTATTCAAGACTGATCCGGGTCTCTATTAAAGAGGGATCATTACGCATAATTAATCAGCCTAAAAGAAATACTCAACCACCAATTTGCAGTTAGGGCTCCTGAACAAATTGGTCATGTGAGCAGCGTCTTTAGGTTTTCAATCTGGGTTGTAGAAAGCAATTCCGACTCCATAACTGAGCAAGGTTCTGGTAACAATCGCTCAATTATAATTCAAATAACTAATTTTAAGGACAGAGGTGCTACCCAAACTAAGTTTTGCAAGGTGGTTCACATCCTGCTCTTCTTGAGACTGAAAATAATGGACGCAACTAGGATTTCAGTCCCAGTCAGGCTTCTGACCAGGCAAAGAATCCCCGTCCAAAGTAGATTGTGGAGAGGGAGAAATCAAATTTGTAATTCAATTCCTCCTTGGTGTGTTTCGAAGAGATTACAGTGACTGCTTACCAGTGCACCTGCACACAAACCTTAGCGTGGTAAGTTACCAGGCTAAGGTTTGTGTGCAGGTGCACAAAAAGTTCGGGAAAGAAAACATATCCATATTCAGCAACAAAGACTGATTAAAAATGATCAATCCCACATCAGTTTCAAATGTAATAAGGCTTGTCATCGCTGGAAAACTTACAACGGTGGTAGAATAATAATGGTAAAAATAAGAAGGTAGATCAGAGACATTAAAAGTCGTACAGACATCAAGCTAAAGACAAGCTGACAACCTGTTCCACGTTGAAATTGATGATCCGAGTGAACTCCTCTTGCCATAGTTGGAGACCATGTACATGGACGTAATCCTGCTCGCAGGACGAGAGAACCATATTGTTACCGGTTTGTTTGCCTCGAGCTAATTGTAGTAGAAATCATCAGTGAACATAAAAAAGCGATATTTACCTGAAAATACTCCATAGATCTACGTTGTGAACGAAGAGTTACGAATAATTCTTGCAATTTTTCCTCTAATTCCTCACCAGTTCCTGCGCTCAACAGAGAAGAGTACATGAAAGGCAAATAACCGGCTTTTACTGCTGCTAATCCTGAATTCTGCTAATCAGGATTTCTCGTTACTCTGATCTGCAAAAATGATAATTAGTTCAACCAACAATCTTCAGGTTCTTCGTCTACAAAGAGGCCCTCACTACATCATGGAAGCTTCAAGCTTCCAAAAATGGAATATTACCTGAATGTCGTAAGATTCCCTTAATATTGAGCAAAGATTGATCACCCACCTCCCTCCTTTCCTCCTTCGCTTGTCATCACCCTTATGTTCATCTAATCTTGTGATATACTGTGCCTCTGTATGCCTAAGAGAAAAAGCTCCCCCGAAGAATAAAGGCTGGTCAAACAAACCTGTCGTAAATACAAGGATCGATTGAAGCGCAAAAGCAAGTTGCCCCACTAGCTGCTTACGGATCCCATCCTCCAGCAACTGTCTTGGATCCTAAACAAGTAGGGGGAAAACAACGAGGACAAATCAGCCTTAACTTGAATTTTAATTACTTTACTCATCAACTGTTTGTTTAATCGCCGATTTGGAGAACAGGCAAAACTCTCAATACTGCGTCTGCAGAAAATAACATAATTTTGACAATCATCTCTACTTACCAGTTCTATCGCTCCCATAAACGTCAGCTTCATTGCAAGCAAACCCTGCTTGATCAAGGCAAGCAACAGTCACTCCCAATAGCCATAACATCGTTCAGAAGTGTACAACACCATCCAGTAGAAACTTCAATGCACAGCAACTGCTTCGACATCAGATTTCATTCTGCAGAATGAATCTCATCACAGCTGTCAAAAAGCTGTATTCATTACAAGAGTTCGTGGCTAGCTAATGTCCACTTGCGTTATGAGACAAGCTGAGACGAGTAAATACGACTTGGACAAGTTTCAACAAACCTGAGTGAAGACTGCAACCTGATGTGTTGCTTTGGCTAGAGTAAAACGTTCTTCTAACTGCGAAAATCATGACACAACCCAAGTGCGACACCTCTGTTAGTCATCAGCGTGAAACTAAATGATTTTTTCTCAGCACGGTATGTTTCTTCATCATATGTGAAAGTCGTGCTCTGTAGCTTGCACAAAAATTACCCAAGTTTTCACCGTCCTTCTGTGTCAACTTCAAAAACTTGAGCAACAGCTATCAAGGTAGGACAGTCTCAGCGTAACTTAAGAGAAGTAGGCCCCTACATTCTATGAAATCTAACTTTGCTCATAGTAGTAGACATGTATAAAAGACATACAATGCGATGAATGAAACAGTGACGAGAAATTGAGCCTCTAAGAACAGTCAGTCCAATCCAGCATGAAAATAAGGCAACTCAAAAGTTTGTACGAGTGCAAACTTGAGCGAGGTTAAAACTTGGTCGTCAATACTGTAAACAGCCAATTTCAGACAACGAATTTCTCAAATGCAGAAAGAAGAACGCTAAGAGGATAAACGCCACGTAACCTACAACAGACCTGCGCGTAATCGCGTAGATGGACTTTCTCAAGGCGTGCAGGCAAGTCACGTAGCCGCTTCGTTTGGACAGCTATCACATCATTGAGAATAGCAAACATGCTGACCTGTATCAAGATCACGGAGAAACAATGTAAGAAACAAAAGAAACAAGACCGTAAGCTCCTTGCCACTTTGGTGTGGCTTAAAACCTAGAGTTTTCAAAGAGCTCCCAAAATAGACGACATGCATTCTGACGCAGCAAGATTAATATGAATCATGATGTGTACAAAAAGACAACGGTCAAAACAAAAGCACTAAGATTGAGGAACTGAAAGGTTCCATTATACATACAGGTATAATCTCCAACACGGCTCGTACGTAGGCTACAAGCTCTGAAGAATAGTACTCCGACACTGAAAGTAGATCTAAACTGTACAGAAAAGGGTTACAAACCTATTAAAGTTCAAACTTGTATCACATAAATTCCAAAGCTGTTGGTGAAAGTCATTTTAAGGTAGGCTTGGTGCTGAGTTTGTAACGTCAGTCGTATCACACGAGGTGATTATGCGTATTAAACATAGAAGCTGCGAGACATTATACCTGTTACACTGTGAAATGCGGAGTAGAGGAATGTCCATGATGGAACGTAATTTCAAAAACAGACACTGAAGTTTCAACACTGTGAAAGGTTCAGCACGGATGCGTTCATGTATCCGCTCGGTGAAGGTATCGATGAGCCCCCATGCATATGCTGCATCGCTTACCTGGCAAGCCAGATAATTCATTCAGGCACACGGAATAGTTGGAACAAGGTTACTACACATATAAAGTGCAGAATGAAAGTCCAAGGTTCATGACCTCAAGTCCTCGTCGTCGCACCAACGAATTCACCAAACAAAACTGAACTTCCTAGTATTTGCATGTCACTGCCTAAAGACCATCGACCCTGTATTCTGGCCGAGAGGTGCTACAAGTAAGAGACAGGAAAGTTGTGTGGTGTAAACAGAGAGGCGGAAAATGAGGACAGCTTGAAAGTGAAGAGGGTCTCTTCAATGTGAAAATTCTGCTCATAGATCAGATTCATTCAGGACTTCCAGGATCCAGACAATGAAGTCTTCACAAGCTCACTCAGCAGCCTCTTGTTATTAGTCAGAAGAGCAGCAGCTTTCCGTTATAGATATCATTTGGAAAAACATCTAGAATGCTTATGGTTCCAAGAGCTGAGGGAGGGTAAGTTCTAATTTAGCTCTTATTCTGGCAGACATGGTACATTTAACAAGATCATGGACAGCAATCATCATATATCACGCAGTGTGCTAGTGGCGGGGTAGTTCCAATCTTGCTCTTGTGGTGGTTCAAAAGAATCACTCCCCTGCAAACGTTGGAAATAGCCTTGTAACCAGGCACGCAACTCCCTAAAGATGGTGCTTGAAAATAACCAGTTCAAGGTATATCACATGAACCACATAATTGATCTCTTTCTATAACAGCCAAAAACATTCCCTCCAACACCAAAATTACAATACTTGAGACTATAATATCATATGAATAGGTAAGATTACATACCACAGACACAGTGGCAAGCGTACTCTCCTGCACATTGAGAGTTCTGACCATTTCATGAAGCTGGGCTCGTGTTTCAGACAAATATTGCCTCGTCTGAAGACTAGCTTCAATCTGCCAATCATCAAACGATAAACCTCATAAACTGAAAATGTTGCAACTTGCCCAAACCGAACACACCTCAAGAAGATGAAGAAATAAAATCAGGATGCTGACTATAAAGGTTCGGTCAAAAACAGTTCAACAATGAATGTGATGAAGAGTGAACCTGATGAAATTGTTCAACCTCCTCCAACGCTGCAATAATCTGTTGAATTTTCCGACCCGCACTAATCGCTTCTGGATAATCCAACACATTCACCTGAAATAATAACTCAGAGAAGAAAAAAATCACGTCTTCTCACCCACTGTAAAATGGTGAAGCAGGAAAAGGAAGATGAAGCGTAAAAAGAAGAAGAATTTCATGACAACCTGGATAGACATTTGCTGGAACCAGCGCTGCAAATTTTCATCTGCAACCCTCTTGGATAAGATCTGCAATTAACAAAACTGCCAAGCTCAGAAACTCACTGCTATCTTAAAGATCAGTTCACTCCAGACAAACTGACCTGTGTTGAGCAATCGTTAAAACAAAAGCGCGTTTTTCTGCATGTGTCGCTCTTTTAAGGTAATCTCTTCATTAGGGGAACATTACATAGCTGCAAATGTTCATCGATGACTAGAAGAAAAAGAACGTGCGAATTGTACACAAGCGCGTTCTTCTGCATGTATCGTTCTTCTAAGGTAATCTCTTCATTAGGGGAACTTACATAGGTGCAAACGTTCATCGATAACTAGAAGAAAAAGAACATGCAAACTGTACACAAGATCGTGGAATGTAAACTTCTTGAATCTTTATCAACAAATCATGATGACTTCAGTTTCCCATTCCTAACAAAGTGGCAAAGTGCTTCCGAACCAAAACAGATCAATCAGTCCAGCATCGTATTAATTTAGAAAATTCACGATGAAAACGAATTAATTCACAAAACCAGAGCTGCGAACGTCTACCTTTTCTCTAGTGAGAAAGTCCATTATGTTCCTAATAGCCTCAGAGATGCAATGAGTGTTTCATCTAAATGTCATAAAGAATAACCTTTGAGCCAGAAAAAAATTCAGAGAGTTCTTCGATGCAATCAACAGCATGAGCCCTGCATTGTTCCCATCGTCCTTGCTTGCCTTCTAATAGATCTCCATAAATCCGCTTCACCTCGAATTCCAACTGTGAAGATGAAGCCACGAACAATTAGAAGCAGATTGAAGGTTTACATTTAAAAGTAGCGGTGGAGAGGACACTGTGTTTTACTGCAGTCAGTGCTTCTTTCTGACATAAGGGAAGAAAAAACTTAGTCAAAACCATACATTCGTTTTGGAAAGCTGTTTTACCCGTGCAGTATCCAGAAGCAGAGAAAGCAAAGTATCAAGAGCTGATTCTTGAGCGGCTGGATTCCCTGCTACTGCATCCCGAAGCTTCCTACTTCCTGTCTGGCAGAAAATCATTGATATTTCAGACATGTCCATTTCTTCAGAATCAACTCTTCTCCGACCAAGAAAAATCATGAGCTCTCAGATTCAACCTGCGAGGTTCCGAATAAAGCTGACGAGTCTCTTCGTCATGAACCTCGGACATCATTAACGTCAATCTTCACGTATGTATGCCATTGGACTTACGTACCCGCATAGACATAATAACCATTTTAGAATATAAAGATACAAATCAAGCAGATCATAGAATTAAAAGTAGTATCTTTGCACTTGGAAATATTGCAAGATAACTAATCGATGGAAACACTCACAGTCCGATGCAGTAGAAGCCAGCGCAATGTTACATTGCAATTCCTTAGACAGGATAAAAGGCTGGACATGTTACTGAGAACAAAATCTTGTGTCAAAACCCCTTCTGAGAGGAAAGCACCTAGTTCTGATAAGAGGACTGTTACCTGAACCACATAATAAACACTTGTGTTACCAAAAATCCTTACCTTTGCGAAACCAGAAAACTTAAAAACAATGTGGCAAAAGTTTTTTATATATTAAATGTTTTCACTTTGATTACCGGTGAAAAGAAACTAGTCGAGTAGTGTTGATCAGATCAGAACAAGGACGGTTTGAGCAAGACGAAATTGCGTCATAGAGTACAATACATCAGATTAGGAGTCAGCACTATTTATGTGTACCAAGTTCTCAGGTGCGTACAGTTCACCTAAGCTTAGTGTTAAATGTGATACAGGGACAAAATGAAATCATGCATCTGCATGAGAACCTCATGCTCTGCAACAATTTTGTAAATGGAAAACTTATGGAGGTGCCAGTACTTCTACGATTGCAACATTTTCAGAAATGAGTTCAGCGGAATAAAAAGAAGCAAAAACTGAACACATGAAAGCTACTGCAGATTCATTCACTTCAGTGAATTTCATCATTTAGTGAAAGAAGCAGTTGGACGTGAAATGACTGAAAGGAAAACTCACTTTCGACGTATGCCGTTGAACAAGTTCCGAAGCTGCAGATATTGCAATGAAAGGAGAAAGAGCAGCTTTGGCTGCCTTGAACCTATCCCATGCTTGAGAGAGATCCACCGTGAAGCCCATAAATATTGGAATCACCCAGCACTCCCTGAAAAACTTGTCCACGATCCCACGCATTGCAAGTTGGTCGTTGTGCAGCATCTGCGGGGCATAAAACAACAGAATATACAAAGAACTCGCTTGTGACGACAGCGCAGTACTCCTATGCTCTGGATTTGGATAATGGCGGACTTGATGGTAAAGGTCATCGCTAAGAAGCTGCCCAATCATGGTCTGAATGACATGTTTGGGGAACAAAAAATTCGCCAGCAATTCCTCTGGCCGGGAAATCATTAACATATTCGAAGGAACAGGAGGAGGGGCTCCTTGCAAGAGTTGAGCAAAAGAGGCAACAGAGGCCATTGCGGAGACTGAAGGTGAAGGAGACGAGCGACAAAGGGTGCATATAGCATCAAAATTTGGAATATCAGTCGATCCCCTGCTTCGATAATACCCGATGACAAGTTGTTCCCGGAGAGGGCCACTAAGCCTGTGTTCTAAGAGCAATATGAGTACTCCATGTAGAGTCACTGCTTCCACCAGTAACTGTCGACCTTCTTCATCTACCAGTACGCTTTCCACTGTGCTTTCAATATATACTCCTTCCTGCAGGACAAAGATTTGGTCGGGTAAAGCCCAAGGAGAAAGTTATATCGTTAGGATAATCAGTGCAAACCAGCAGCACTCCAAAGAAGTCAAAGAACTTGTCATATAAATAGGAAGAAGTGAGTGCAGGTCACACCAAGGAAGCCTGAAAATACTTTTCAGCCTTACTTCAAGAGCTTTACAAACGTAGTTGCAAGACTGCACCAATAGAGTCTCTGTACAAGGATTAAGAAACTTCGGTACTTTTTTTATAAACTGCCAAACCTAAATTCGAGGAAAAATTCAAGAAATATACATGATTTATGCAGGATAGAGTACATATACATCTTACATGAGGCGCACTGTCCATCACACTTTATATCCAGACACGGAGGAGGAAGATTGCTCAAAATATGACTTACTTCGATGCTCAATACACATCTGTGATTTAAAATAAACAGGATAGTGCTACACCTGCAGCAAAGGCCAGTAAAACCAAGGAACTAAGCACAAACGGCTTGCTGTAGAAACAACTTGCCCCTGCTCGTTATCAATATCACGCAGCTAGAGTTGGAAAAGATCGAATTACCTGCAGATCTTCTAGATAGCGCATAACATCACTGTAGTATTTTACGATTCCATCGAAAAGGAAAAAAATTCGTTCGAGAAAGTTCTGGTAGGTTTCCCGAAATTCGTCATCCAAAGCAAGCAGGTCCGCACTGGCTTCGATGCGCTCTTCAAAGAGCTCGGGCGACTTAAGATATCTGATATCATTTGAAACAGGCGGCGTGAATTGTATACACATACTTGAGTTGACGTGCATAGTAAATTCATCGTGAAAAATTTCGAAATGAAAATAATATTCTCCTCCACCAAACAAACTCATCTTTACCTGAAGCCAAATATAACTGGGGCAAATCGAGAATCCGTATTAGGATGAAACACCGGTGGCACACGATCTGACAAACGGAGCAGCTCTGCTAACAACGCCTGCGCTCGGCTCACGATGCGCAGCAATACAGCTCCAACTGGCTTTTGAGTGAAATCAGCTGTCCTCGTCATTTTTCTTGAGCTAAATTAGACTCAGACAGAAGCGAAGCAGTAAAAGTGGAGTATAATTCTTCAATTGCAGATCTGCTCTGTGCATTCTCAGCATCTAGATCCGCTTGGTGGCGCGACTTTATTCAAGAACTGTACAACATTGGCGAGAAAGATATAGCTTCAGGCATTTTCTCCACCATACTCCGCTCTTCTCACATATTTTACAGAATACAATTTGGAACAATTCCCTCGATGCACATCATAAGTCGGTATAACGATCAAGCCATTAAGCTCCCGATTTCTTGCTCTCGTACACTAGTGCCGGTAATCTTCTCCGGGAGAGATTGACGACATTCACGGAAAACTCGCCTTCGCAATTTACCGAGTCTGCTCTCAGACAATCGCTGAATCACTTCGATATGTGAGCCACACACAGCAAATTATCAATCCGATTCGATGCATTTTATGTCCAAATTAGAAGATCCATGTCCGGCATGCACACTTCGATGATCTCTCCAAAGTGATCCATTGGTGCTACAGTACCTTGTCAGTCTATTTCCTGCAGGTTGAAGTGCTGTGTAACACGTTCAAAGTACCGTGCCCTGCTATAAAAGTAAAGCGAACCCGGTAGGAGTTTCTTTTCCACGCAGAGATCTCGTTTAAATAAAACCACAGTCTGCATAGTCTTGTATTAACCTAAAATATCACCAATTATTATTTTAAATGCATATCATTACACTTCTACAACTATGACGTGTATAGAGATAAATTCTTATTCATGTTTTAGGGGCTTCAGTTTAAGATTCCTTACATTTTTTTAAAGACTTACTGCAATAAGGAGGTCCACAAATGCATCCCGGAGTTTTAGACCCCGCGTTTTGAAAACGATCGGGTGGAAGCCCGTTGTCAACGTAAATGTGCACGAAGGGAAGTGTCACAGAATTGACGTGCAAATGATACTGACTTGTTCCCTGATCTTCAGAATTTTAACAAGACGTGAATGATTTTTTAGAGTGACCATTGTATTCAGAACCTTAATTGAAGTTCGTACGTACATCATTTACGACTGCAGCCACGTATGACAAGATATAATTGTGTTCTGGAGAGGGATGATCCGCAAGAGTGATTTGATGATTGAACGGTGCATAGTCTAGGATGTCACAATCCGTGGCAGGATATAAGAAAGTTGGAAGATGATGAAATTGCGAAGAAATCTTAGGGTGTCTGAAAGGTCCGAAAGAGTATGGAGAACCTTTTGTGTATGTTCAAGTCAGTCCAGAAAAATCTTAAACAGAGTTTGAAGATGCTTTGAAGAATTTAAGGGATGTGTGCAGAGACATGTTAGAAATAAGCTATTAACAAGAAATCATACGCGTGGATGATTATGGTCGTGTCTTAAGTACTTACCATTGAGTTTCTGTTCAGACTGAAGATAAACCATTTCATGAAATCTTCAAAGAAAACAAATTTCCGGCAGTAGTGCACTCGATATAGCAAGCAAAAGGGCTGACAGATGTGTGCTTTTTAGAATCAGCTCCGTGGGCGCAAAGTAACCATGAAGCAAAGTGAGTCGCATCCACCTTTACTCCACATTTCGATGAGGTTAAGACATATAGAATTAAATAAAGTGCATACATGAACCACATGAAAAAAATTAGGATTTGGACCAGAGAGCCGAAATGTGCTACTTACATCCGACGTAGTTCTGAGAACTATTACTCCAGGATATGACTTACATCATCTCAATAATAGACTTTAGAAGCGTATAATTGAAATATATATATATGTATATATATTAATTATGGAGAACTTGATATTCGCAAGAAGAAAGATTTATTGAAAAATGCAATAGACTGGAACTTACGCTGAAACCCACCCTGTCAATTTTAGGACATTGACTAAGACACAACCAGTTGAATTAAATCTTTTGATTGTTAATAAAATAACGAAAATATTCATTTATTTTCACATACATATAAATATAAAAATGTAAACATTACTCATATATATATATATATATATATATGCTCTACAAAATCCATTCAGGTATTTGGATAATTCAGACATAATTTTTTCTTCTTGTTGAATCAAATTTGCAAATCTTATAAAGCAATATGTACATGTTGACATCACATGTGGTCACATGACAGGCTAACAACATTGAACAATGTTATAATTGTACAATCATTGCTGATTGTACAATTCAATACAATATCTTAATGTAATCTAATCTATATCGTGGGAATAGCCTCCATTTCTGAAGTTATGATTTTTAAAGGTGTTGTTGTGTCTTCCGTGCTTTACTTGTAGCAGTATTAATATTTATATCAATATTTAATTCAAGTCTGGGCGTTTTCAAACGATTTTGGACTCCAAATAATGTGCTGTTCTTGTTCATAATTGTATCATTCCTAGGGTTAACAAGAAGAGTACAAATGTGCCAATGATAATTCTATTATCCATGGATCTTAAAACAAAAATTGTCATTACTAGATGGAATTACTGCAAATATATTTACATTACATACTTAAACATTCAAACAGTGCCATAGTTTTAATTGATTATTGGGAGCTTTGTAACTTTGAGTATAATTTCTCAATAATAACATACATTAATGTTAGGTTTGAATATCACTATTTGGAAGTGTCACTTATGAACAAAGCATGCATACGTTTGTTCTCGCACATTCCATATGTCCTACAACTCCTATAGATGTATCGTCTGGTCCCAAGATTGACTTCACCTACACTTTTGTATTGTTCACGAAGATCAACATAATACTATAACTCCATTGACTTGCAGTTAACATACAAAACACTTAGTTAAACATATCATGATTAAGCATGAACTGAAGTGTTTTATTTAAGTGCCAGGCTACACCCATTTTTGCTACGATCACACCCGCCCGTTTTTGCTACTACCCAAGCGCATTACTACTGCCCAAGCCCCGGCAACGTGGGAGATAGCGACGGCCGCAGCGGCCCTGCGCCCCTTGAAGCCTCTCGACTACCTCTACTCTGCCTCGCGGACGAACTCGGGTTAGCAGCTCGGTTTGAGGTGAGTTGTGCTTTGACGCGCAAGCAATTGTTTGTATGTAACTGGTGGCGTAACAAAAACGGGTATGGTCCTACTTGGGCCCTTTATTGAAACCTAGAAACGATTGAGGAAATATGTATATGAAATGTTCCTAGAATGAACGTGAATTGTTTAGATATGGTTTTACCTCCAGTTGCAATGCTACTGAATAGCTTAGACATGATTTTACCTGCAGTTGCAATGCTACTGCAAGGTAATATCCAATTGTAACGGTGACAATTGGTAGATTTTTAAACAGTGTAGGAATAATTGGTATGTCGTCCTTGTCATGCACGTTTACGACAAGGGACTGGTGGGAGATTAGTTCTAATTTATCCTTTGGGCTAAACAGAGGTAAGTACAATATGTTTATTCTCTTCCTTCCCAATAACGTTATCTTCACTCCATTTTTATTAAGAATGGTCACCGCTCTTATTTCAGAGTGATAATATACGTACTTTGCCTTTAAAATTTCGTTTTCCCTACCTTGACGTTTATTCTCTTGTTACTGGCTGTTTACTTGTCAAGTCAACTATCATATTTCTACTCCTCGTACTGATTCGAATTAACATAATTCACATCCGTCCCGATAGAGATATAAATCTAAAAAGTTATGAAAATTTTTCCAAATAGTCGTCTTTGAGGCCGCAAGTATATTGTTTAGCAAAGTAAATGTACTTACACATGTTCCACCCTATTCACGTCATACCTCTAGCTTGTTAAGACAACTTCGAAGGTATTTTGTAACAAACTCGTATTTTCGACAGTGGACGCATATCCGAATGTGAGCAAATACTTTTCCGCTTGTCAGAATTTGCTATGTCTCTACAGGAAATTACCGTGCGGACAAATTTGACATCCTACAAAATCGAATTCGACTCCTCATAACGAGGTGTGTCGATGATCGCACACGTATGTGAGGTACAAAATTTGTAATATCCACATACAACACCCGCCCATGGCACTCTCCAACAAGATCATGGCTAACACCAACCGACTTTCTTCTACCACTGAAAGCTTGTGCGATTGAACTGGCCTGTCAATAAAACTACTCATCGGTTTATTCATGGACAGCTCAGGCTCACTGAAAGACCACTATTTGAGGAACATCGACCTTCAGCCGAATCCACTTCCATTCACAGTCCGCACAAATACCATTCCGTGTAAAAGAATGCCATGTTCCGTTCGCCTTAAGGCAATTTCCCTAGGTCATCGACATCACCAGACTTCGCAAGACATTCCCCAAAAAAACAAGACGGGCAGAAATCGATTTGTCTTGATTGAGACTATAGCCAAAGACACAACAATGGGTTGAATTGTACAGAGAGTAGAGGGCGAAGGAGCGCGTCAGAGAACTCTTCAGTAGAATCTTATATGTCAAAAAGAGGGATTCCCGATGAGTAAATTCATCTAAATAAAATCTGCTTACACGACTTCAATTTCCTTGCCAATAAAAGGCTTCATTGCAAATTCCTCCTCCTCCTTCGGTGTGTGGATAGTGACCATGTCGGGAAGTGGTGTCATGGGTCCTTGCTTACCCTTGGGGTCCCAGTCCAACATGATCTTGACCTTGATTCCGAGAACACCCTGCATGCAGAGTAGACATTCAGTGAAAGATCTTACAGCGACCTAATCATTATCTGGAAATATTGTAAACGTAAACTCCTTACGTATCGTACCTGTCGGAGGAGGACGTGCCTCACGGCAGAGTCGATGTACTCGTTCACTGGGGAGCCGGAGGAGATCATGTATCCATCCTTGAACTTCATGGACTTGGCACGTTGGGCACGCAATTTACCGCTGACGATAACCTAAAAAAGAAGTGTAGAGTAAGAAACCCAGAGCTTAAGATTTGCACGTCTTAAGGATGCGGCGAAAACTGTCTAGTTAATCGGCAGTAAGATTCTTACCTCACAACCCTTGGCACCACTCTCCATGATGAACCTCAACACACCATAGCAAGCCCTGAAACAAACCCAATCGATTTTTAGTCAAAGAAGAGGCGCACAAGACGCTGCCTTGAAATCAGTTAACAGTCTCTAAGATGAGCTCTTACCTGCGGACGGCAAGTCCACCGAGAAGCTTGTAACGCAGCGACTCGGCTTGGGCAATGGCGCAGAGTCCTCTGCTGTTAACCTTCTCAGCATACAGCTCCACAGTGTTTTCTGGAAAGTTGAATCTCTTCTGAACTACAGAGGTCAACTCTCTGATTCTTCGTCCCTTTTCACCTGTACTCAGATGGTGTCAAAGTGAGGATTGGATCTCCATCGCTTCGCTGCAAGCTCGTATCAAAAAAGAATTGGCGGATCATACAGCTTTACGGGAGGCTTCCACGAGACACTACTTAGAGAAACACTTAAAGTCGGAAAAAAAACTGGATGAGAGATATTCAGCCAAGACCATGTGTTTAAAACTCTTTAATTACTCTAATTGATTATTTGGGTTAGATGGTGCAAATGCGTAAGCATGGAAATTTCCATGCTTACACATTTACACCACCGAAGCAACCATCTTCATTAAGAATCTCCCCAAAATATCGATCGAGAGGACATCCCACAAATTGCCCCCACTTTAAGCAGAAATCTACGACGTGATGGCTACTGATACACATTGGCTAATACTTTAAGACGTTTGCCCACGATAAGAGAAGAGTAATTATATGTCGCGAAACAATTAAAATCTGCTTTGTACATGCTCGCTCCATCGCAACAAACGCATGTTTCAACGAAATCTCACCAAGGACATTTTGGGTGCGAGTAGCACGGATGATGATTTCGGTCCTCATCGGTGTGACACGCACTTCGACGCCGGAGTAGCCATCCTCAGCGAGCTCCCGGGTCAAAACTTCGTTCAGCTCGGCAAAGAAAACTCCATCTGCTACGAACTGTCGATTGCGGAAGAGTGGGGGATTCGATTAAGCATCGTATCAATTCCAGAGTGAAAACGAACGGCAATCCCCGCTACTCTTGGTGAAGAATGGGTAGGTTCAGACAACATTGGAAAAAAAACCCTAGCAAGATCCATCACGCAGGGTCATCTAGAACAGCACATACCTTTCGCTTCTTACTCATCTGAGTCGCCATGTTTACTTGTGGGAAATCTCCCGTAGACAAAAACGCAGCACTGGAAAGAAAATTGCAGCCGCGACGAACAGACCAGGGTGCGAAGCCTGTGCGAAAGAGTAGACTCGGAAAGAGGAATTCGATAACACCCCTGCATCGACTTAACGGACCTTCCCTCGAAACAAGCTTAGGGTTGCGCCCAGTACACAAGATCTGGCCTGCTTCAATCGACGGTCCAGTTTCCTCCTGGTGGGTAGTTCACTGCGCAGTCGACCACGTGCCATCCTTGCGCAGTCCGATCCCCCTTGGGTTAGTACAATATTGGTCTGTAGACTCAAAAGTGTAGAAATCGGGAATATTCCGAGGTAGGAGGGAACAAGGATGTGGACAAACCACGTCCTTCACATCCTTTTCCCCGTTTGTAACACTGATGCTCATGTAGTATGCCCACGATAGTTAGGATATGTAAGGCGCAGTGGTGCATGTTTCCCACTATGATGCAATTGGGACCCAATAGCATCTACGACAACAGTTTTGACTAATAAGTCTACGACCTGACCTGACTGGGTCTTCACATCCTTTTTAATACATTACTAGGTTTTTCTTGCATGTTACGTTGTAGCATGTTGCTGGTTTGGAAGGGAATATACATAGACGCACTAGGGAAATTCTCAGAGCTCAATATTACCAATTTTATGTTGTAAGACACCGGGTTTCAAGAAGAGTTAAAGGTGAATGTCCACTCGCAGATGACCATATTCATCATAAACTCAGAAATTCCCAGCTCTGCGCTGGAAGAAAACCCTTATTCCTGAAGACCTGTGCAGTGTTGCACATATAAAAAAATTACTGTCTTCACCTACTCAGATTCGTTGATTGTGTAATAAGTTCATCGTAAGTTAGCTGCGTGGGATCACAAAGATTAGACATTCACTTTTACGAATGTTATATTTCCACGGAAAAAAACGAAATTCGTCGCACTTGGAAATGGTATGACTCTTAAGTCATACCATTTCCAACTGCGACGTGGACATTCACCAGAAAATGAGGAAGATTTTTTACACAACGGTCTCTTCTAATTTGACGACAGTCGACGTTTTCAGGTATGCACGGGGACAGCCTGCATATATGAACTACCGTTGCAAGAAAATTTCCTCACGACGAATCACTTCGATAAGAACATTTGACATCCCTGACGGAACATGCAGGCTAGACTGATTTACACACACTTATTCTGTACAGTGCGTTAGAGGCCTTTCCAATAAGCTTGTAACGGAAGTTGTGGATATCTCGGGTTCTGCCTGTTCTTTCAGATTGTTCATTTTCATTTCAGGCTGTTCATTTTCATTGAGCATGCACGTCTGCATATAATTGTGGGCGGCCAGAATAGACTGAAAATCATTCATACGCAACTTCCGGTCGTCTACATGCATTTTTAGTTTCCACCATATCTGGCACTTACTCCACAGACAACTGCAAAGGACTGAATATACATATTGTTCTATTCATTATACTGTAAAGACCGTGAGGTTGCAGACTGCATGAGCTGCTGAAAGTCCAACGATCAAGCATAATCGGATCTGTCGATGAAATATAAAACATCCCCACTGTCTCACCATACGCACATTGTAGATATGCACTGAAGTTCTCGCGCGCACCAAACTTTGTTAGCACAACGAAGATAACGGTTAATTTTATCATCAAATCTGTTTGTCATTTCTTTAAAGCGATAAATCAAAGTATGTTACAGTTTTGAACACAGCCAGGGTGTGTCATCACAGATACGGCAGCTTTTGCACTACCGTAGTACTGTGACGTTTGTGCTCTTTTGTCAATAAGTCGAAAGTGGATCCATGTGTAGTGGTAATCAAATAAAATATGGAGAACAGGCAAATTAGCTCCACACATACAAGACAACAGCTGATCATCGTAAAATTATGATCAGGTCAAAATCAACCAGATCAAGGCTGGAAATCCAAAATTTGGAATACAATCAACAAAAATAATCGACCAAGAGAACAATCACCATATTGTAGAGAATTTCACTCAAATAAATCGAGCCAGTTCAAGTTGAAGGAAAAGAAGAGCCAAAAAGTCTGTATACAGACATATGCACGATGAAATCATATCAAATTCTCAGACGAGCGTCAGTTTTCCTTAGACGACCAAGAGCTTTTCTTCTCCAGAATGGTTCCCTGCCAGCAACCAAATTCATGGGTGTAAACGAAGACGAATTTCAATTGATTGAAAGTGCTTACAATCTTCCCTGTGGATGAATTTACTGGAAGCAATTGCAAGCCATCTGCAGTTAAATTCAAGAGCTCTTCATAACGTGTCAAATGTTACATGTGTGAACCACAGGTCAGATGAGTACAATACCCTTTAGTCTCCTTAATGTACAGATACGATGGTGGCCCTTTGACCATAACTTCAGTAGGAGTTTGTCGTATGCAGTTGTAATACAAATTACAACATGTGTCTTAGCCTTCTCCTACGACATCTTAAAAGCATCTCTCAGCAGCCTGCACACGCATCACCTAGCTAGTGGAACAAGGCCAGGAAGATGGGTTGTTCAATCTTCAACGTATGTAGAAGCTGGCACAGGAAACACCTCTAGAGATCGCAGATTGCAGATTCATAAACGAATACACTTGTACGAAGTTCTGTACGCGCGCACAGTTGGTACATTGCATAAAAATATACCAACTGCACTGGAAATGGTTGACTACTAAGATAACAAGTATATTCTAAAAATTACCAAGGCCAACTGCGGTAGTGAAGATACAAAATTGAAACTGTCACTCAAGTGACCAAAGTTGTATTAAGACACATTTGTACATTCAAGAAATGCAAGCACAATTGTACATGATGAAATCATGACAACCTGAAATTTCTCTACTCCTTGTACATCCCAGACAGGGGTCGTTGTTGGCAACGTCTGTGGACTATACTTCAAACTGGTGAACATTTAAGCCCTACGATTTGTCCAAAAACTGATTTGAGAACACTCACGTGCCCAGTCGCTTTGCTCCACACTCCGAGCAGTACTTTGATGTTTCACGAAGATACTGGGCTCCACACTCATCACAATACTTGGCCGGAGTATTTGGCGGCTGCACCCGAACATATCATACCCAGTCAACAGCCATCCATGATTAGCTATTGATTGCACATCCACATCTGAACAAAGTCTACCAGTAAGGCAGGTTACACAATGTACTCACTGTGTATTGAAAAGACTACATGCCAAACTTTTACATTACACCGGTCTAAATTTACTTCGACAAAGCATTTCTCTTCTGTGCAACTTACTGCATAATTTTGCATCTGAGTTTGGCTAAGAGTATGGTAAGTCGAAAGAAAAATTGAGTAGGATCTTTACATTAATCATTTGGTGCGAAAATACTATCAAACAGGGAACGTACAGAATTCGTACTCACCATGCTAAGCATAACTGGAACTCCCCCGGTATGCATCACAGGAGATTGGACATGCGGTGGGGTGTGAGGATTGTGCTGACTGTGAGCAGTATGAGGAGTCAGAGATGCATGCGTTGTATGGGCGCCATGGGTCGGCGTATTTTGACTTTGACTTGTATGAGATTGACCTAGTATATGTACAGGGCAATGAACTTGATGAGGATGTTGATGAGATTGATGTGTTTGCTGGTGAGGGAGCGGCGCTTGCTGCTGTTGTTGCTGTTGTGCCTGCAGTGGCTTCAGTCACCAAAAAGATTAAAAGATTTAGTAAGCAAACATGACACTCCGTTCTAGTAACTAAGAATATTCGTCACTGGTCTGAAATCAACTCTCCTACTGGACTCTACATCTTTCACCTTAGATGGTAGTATATTATCATTTGGATGTAGTTAAGACCATGTGTCTATAAATAATTATCAATCTTTTCGAACATTACAAACTGAATGCTAAACGAACGAAGTAGCTGGGAAAAGCAAATTTTTTACTGCAACGCAGCTTATGGAGGGAGAGATGTGCGCACCCAAGTTATCTAGTAGGGTTACAAACTGTTATCTACTAGCAGTATAAACATATATGATGAGTTGGATCCTAACCAATTCATTTACGTCAAGTGACGTTTACCAGGTGTCTGTTATATTGTTGGAGTGTATGAACATGAAATATAAATAACCAACCTAATGAACATAAGTAAGAGATTAGAACTACCAGACTAGTTCCATCTCGTTTCCCCTCTAATTCTATCCTCACCGTGACTTCGTGCTTATTATCTTCACACTAGCACAGCTTAGCCAGCATGCGAACTATCATCTTAGATACATGACATGCTCGTACTCAAGAATTTCGGGATATATACTTTGAATTTACGGTCAAGAAACACTGTATGTAGAACTATCACTATGAGCAAATTTGACAGCTTGTTGTATAGTACTATTCACTCATAGTAAATTGAAATCACCAAAATTAAAACTAAGCGGAAGGAAGAAGAGAGGGTGGAAAGTTCAAATACAATGGTGTTCAATAGTTCAATAATGGGAAGACCCCATAAAGCCGTTTTTGTTTCAATGGTTAACAAAATGACTTAGTTTCTATTTACAAAAGTTTGTTCTTGTTAATCAAAAGAGAAAAGTCTCCATACGATAAGTAAACCACCGCAAAGAATATAGCGCATAGAAAATGAGTTGACGCCTTCAGAGTATCACTCACCGGCGAGCGTGCACCCATACTTCCAGAATCACCTGAAGAAAATTGCTGGTCACACAACGAGAATTAATGAATCCCCTGATTGGATCAGTGTCTTCGTCGGTTTCTTAGGAAGTTGCCGAGCAATTCATTGAAAAAGCCTCCAAAAAGGTAAATGTAAATTAAAAAAAATCACTTTACGTACGGGAATCACTTGTTGCCGGATTGGCAAAGGAGGGGGAAGGCTCGTACTAGGCTCCGGAAACGCCTGAAATTATTTCAAGACAAGTAATCTTAGCTAATGAATTTACCTGTTTCTCCGTTTAAACACTAGATTGCACCTCAAACGAGTGTTTGATTTCTCATACAATATCATCATGACAAGTGGTGGACTCTAATCTGCCAAACTCTTAATGTTTTCACTCGTCTTATCTCTGAACAACATTTAAAACCAACCAGATCAATTACATCATACATTAACTTTAATAATAGGTCCCAGCCGAAGTCGCTTACCGGAAGCGAGCCGACCGAGAGCGAATGCTGAGGTGTGCGACGATGTTTGACTCTGGGAGAGAAAAAGTTGTAGTCTCTAGGAGTAATCGCAGCTTCATGCCTTCCTGTTAATCGTTTGAACCTGACCATCCAAGACCCTCCCTACCTAGAAGTAAGATTCGTGACTTTATGAGGAATTTATTACATACTTCCAACATACTGATACACAGATGTTAAAGTGTAAAATATAAAACAGCTGAAACAAACAACAAAACAAAAGACGGTTTGAAATTTTGATATCCCGCCGAAAAACCGTTGTGTTCATGCCAACAAGAAGTGGAAATCAGGAAAGAAGGTACTAACCATTCCGAGTCCTCTGGTGGTAAGGTGGGTCTCTCCACGAGCTCTAGTCCGTGAACAACCACAAAGCGGACACGTTTCTCATCTCCTGTCACAAGCTGGGGAAATTTGGTACGTGCCTCCAAAGCAGAAGCCATTTCTCTCCTTTTGAAAGTCATCGGACCGCCTACGGTGGTCAAGACAGTCCAAAAACGTTCCAACGTTTTGAAATTACACTATGAAGTCTAAGACATTGGAGATGAAATACAGACTTTCAACTTCAAAAACGTTTTTTACTGTACAATTGCCAAAAATATAAGAGCGTTTCAAAGTTATAGACGAATATAAGACAGGCAACTTCTGAGTCAATACTAATTATGGGATGTCCAATGAATCAAAGAACGAAGGGGCCAAGAGATGGACAAAAGTCTAACGCTAAATCTTCTACAACTCACCAATTCAAACGTGATTGATAGAGTTTTGTCCATCTCTTGCTAAATTATCGGACCAATAGCAACTGACAAAAGAGTTCTGAAAGAGTTATTCTGATACAAGTGTTTAAAGCAGAACTTAGTAAACAATGGTACAGTCACATTTCTGAGTAAACGGGACCAAGAAACGTATAAAATAATCGATTGCTTGATGTGGAACTCATGTAACGGACAGACAATTCGCTCACCTGACTTTGGATATCTCTTCACAAGACGCCTGTACAAACCCCCGGCAGCTTCCAAGGCCACCCCCATAGTTTTCTCATGACTTCCTTCAACGGTGCCTAGTCGCTGATTCACTTCATGTATAAGAGTTTCGTAAAGGTTTGCCACAAATGTCAAGGGTAACAAATATCTTGGATCCCCTTCATACTGTCCATCCCTTGTCCTTATTCTCTTCTTCAGCTTCTCCTTACTATTTGGACTATTGTAGTTTGTCTCTGTTGGTGACTCTGGTGTTGGAACAATATGATGTGTAATAAAGTGATCGATAATAATTTGTAAAAACCTGGCTCTTGCAGTCTCGATAGGTATGACATCTGCAACGACGAACGAATAAGAGACACGGAATATGAATATAAATAAACCACATCTGTAATGCCCATCAAAAGTACGTCCACCATCAATAGACACAAGTGTCATGTGTAGCCTTACATTATTGAAAGAAAGTTGCACACACGCAAAAATTGCATTTTCGGATGGTGCAAAGACGATAACGAGATTAATGATGAGTCCAATAAACGATCTCTACAGAAATGCTCTCTATATATTGGCTGACCTAGATTTCAGTTTTCAAGGGTAGCTGATATTTAACCGGTTATTTGAGATACAAGCATTTGAGATATGTCAAGATTAACCAGCGCATGTTGTCACTAGAAGAGCGGTCTGAGTACGCCAAGAAGATGATCCGATCACGTAAACAACCGTAGGTCCCAACTAGTCCCAAAATTAAGGGCTGTTTCGAAAACAACCCTTAAATTCATGAAGCGAACGAAGAGAAGAAGGGAGCAACAGAAATGTAGAACTTATTCTTCTATCGAGATGGCTTAGAATACTTGATAAACTGTGGAGAAAGGTTCCCTTCTAATATCTTCAAAAAAGACTAGCAGAAAATAATAGCATTTGATACCACTGATCTTCGCTGATAACCTCAAATAGTTTTACCAGGGCGACGAAAAAAAAGTCCAGGACATACGCTTTGAGACCAGAACATATGTAGGACACATGATACTTGCCGTTGAGTGTCAAAACACCGTATGGAGATCGTGGAGGCTCGTCACCCTCAAGTGGCATTGAATGATCAGTTTCCGGTCCGCTAACACTCTGTAAGGCAATCGAATTGCCATAGGACTGGGGCACACAACCCTGATATCATCAGCAGGTGAATATTTAGGGTTCTTTGCGAAAGCTTTTGGGCACTAGTCTTGACTCTTCGATTAAGAACAAACTGATTACATTGATAATACGCATAATGCACATGCTTGAAGATGTTTCCAACAGTAACTCCGAAATGACGCATAACCCCAACATGAAAACGAATGGTTATTCAACGGTCATTAGATACTGAATGAAAAGAGGTGTTGTCTACCTCAATTACAGAGTTTTCTAATTATATTACAGCACACACTGACTTCAACTGAAAAAATAGTAGGCTTGAGAAATGGCTATACTGCTCAAGGCTTGATATCAAGAAACGCAAGGATCCTGCATTAAATTTGAATTCAGAGCAGAAAGACACACGTTCATACCCCAGAATTGGAGTCTTCCTCGTGATCCAAGCTGTCGCCAGTAGCGGGATCTCGATCCGTGTCTGTGATGCCCTCCAGATCCCCATTCCTAGAGTCTACTGTGTTGAGATCATGCAAAGTATTTCCTACGAGTGGGTTCCCGGAGTTCAAATTATAGTGAGGCGGACCCAACCGGCCAGCCATTTCACCGTATCTACTAGGAGGGGGCAACCACGAACACATGTAAACTACATTCCAGTGAATTCAAGTAAAATCATGAAGGGATTGCTAAGCCGCAGACGATATTCAGTAAGACCCTGCTCCTTGGTTGGATGATTGGGGGTAAAAAAATCAGGTGAGGTAAACAAATTATCCACCATCCGAATCTGGTAAAACGTGTTGAACTCCACATCCCCACCATAACGCGCATAAGAAAGTAGTCTACGCTTGACGGTCTTCTTGTACTCGACATAGAGATCCAAAATCTTCACACATCGAAACATCCACAAGGAGATTATCAGCCTTTCACCAAGAAAGAGAAGACCATGACAAGAAAATACCCAGGCCTTGTAAACAACTATCCACTACGCTCCCGCGCAAATGTTAGTGAGCAAATCCGGAAGGATTTGAGAAGGTTGACCTCGGTTGATCAGACTGATCAAAAACCTAATGTATATCCGAGCTGATAGCAAAGAAGTAGTCCGAGAACTAAGGAGCAGGTGCCAAGACTAATTTCAACGAAACCCGGAAACGGAATCGACCGACACTTTGATTAAGACCTGAGGATACGTGCAATCTGTAGGCCACTCACGATAAGCAGGGCATTCGCACCGATTGCTCCTGGCAGTGTGGCACAGAGAGCACGCTGCAGGAACAGCACAGACATGCTTCGACTTTCGGCACAAAGCGGGAAGTTGTCGATAAAGTTTTTAGTCTCCCGACTAAGTCTACTCTTTGACCCATGCATCAACCCCCGGGCCCGGAAACCCCGGGGGTTGTCTCAGTCTTTGCAAAATTGCAACCTCCGCCACTCCTGAACTTCTCTCGCGTACACACAGGTCTAACCCAGCATGATCTCCCCACCCACTTCTCTCGATGCGACTCGGGGTTCTACGGGTATCTCGAGCCGACTCGAGTCGACTCGAGGCCAGATGACGACCGACCGGACGGAGGAGTAACGGGCAAGAAGAAGACCCATCAGTTTCTTGTTGTCCACATCGAAAAGTGGGAGAAACAAAATTCATCGTCTGACGAGAAGAGAAGCAAGACGGACAGACGCAAGCCCGGCAATGATAAAATCTCATCATCTTTCGTGCACAACTCGAGCACGCCCGAAGAAAAACATCGGGCGCATCGATAAATCCAACGCCAAAGCGCATTAGCCTCGAAACCTCCACGGAAATCCCCAAGAAAACCCAATTCCAAGATCCTCGACCGACTACAATTGATCTCAACAATCAATCACATGCATCGTAACCTATCGATTGCAGGTATTTGCGAAGCGTTGGTGAATTTGAATTTGAAACACGGCAAGAGAAAGCAAGGAGAGAGGCTACAAGGCCGGACCCGTGGCTGGCACCATAGCTGCGTCTCGCTCCTCCCACCGAGCCTGCACGTTTGCTTCTTCCAGTCCCCTTCCTCTCCCTCCACTCCTCTCTCTGTTGCCTCCACCCCTCCTCCTCCGGTGGCTGGGCTGGGTGCCACCTACGATTGCCACCTCATCATCTGACTCGACTGGGTCCCAGTCGCTCCGAAGTCTCCCTCTCCTGCGGCCTCGCCGTCGTCGACCTTCTGCTCTGCGCTTCCTCTTCTCTTCCGCGCCTGAGCAAACAGACAAACACCTGTTGCTTTGTCGTCTGTCGATTATATTGACTTCCCCTCGATCGGCCATCGATATGTCCTTCTCTGATCCAGGACCGCTAGCGCCAGCCTCTGCCTCGCCCTCAGCCGTTCCCGTTCCTGTCTGAGCGAGATGGAGCCGCTGGACTTTCTTCCCAAGCCCACCCCCACCCACTTCCACCCCCCTCTCCCACCCCCAATCCATCGCCTCTCTTGCTCTAGGCTCAATCGCTCGCTCATTTCCTTTGGGGCCTCTTCTTTGTTTCTTCTTCCGGACCTACCCCGAGTAAAGCTTGCTTCACATCCAACCCTGCCCGTTGCTTGCCAACGCTACTGGACCTTCATCCACTGCTCTGTCCACGTCGTCTACCACCCGCTCCGTAGTCACTGCGCGTGTACACGGCTTTGTATTAGCTTGTCACATCTTCTAAGCGCTTGGAAGGGATTAAATTAATGTCTTCGTTTCGGTTGAGTCCTCTCGGGCTTTAAACTTCTCGCGAGGACGCTCTTAAAGGATAAACCCAGCCCAAAATGGGTCAAATGTTTGTTCTCTACAATTGCTGTAGGATCGATTCTTAGTAGTTCACTTGGTTATGTGATGTGATAGACCCAGTTGCTTATGCTACAAATAGATGGTCGCAACTTGAGGGACGATTGTATGCATGGTATCATTCGTAACCAACTGCGGTATGCAATAGTTAGTTAAACGAGATTGTAGATTTACCACTAAATCACTGAAGGAAAACATAGTGATATGCAACATATCGAAACAGTAGAAAGTAAATTTTGGCTTGCATGGATACATTATGAGCTGGCTACTTTACATTCGTGGAAAAACCATGTAACAATTTTCTAATACAAAGTAGTCATATACGTGCACATGGTAGAATGGGATAACACGGATTAAGGGCTTTTCCTCGTATTGGAAATTTTGGCTGCGAGCTATATTACTAAGTCAAAACAATGATCGACTTAAACTTTATTTCAATACTTCTTAAAACCGCTAAGTTACCGTGAACCTAATCGGAACCTAATCACATGCATGAAGTCGGCATTGAATCTGCATGCCTTCTGTGCTTTAGTGATTTCTTTTGTTTTTTGTGCATTTTTGTTACAAACAGTATCAGACTATGTGACGGAGACGTGAATGTGATTCTGCGCTGAAGTTTTTGTTCTTTGAGGATCGTTTTGATTTTTTCAAAAAGAAGTTCCGCGCTCTATAGTAAAGCAAAAATGTAAAATCAAAGTAAACGACAAAAAATCAACTCTGTGTGGGTGTCAGCTCAGCGTGCAAATTTATATTTTCCTTGCCGGTGTGAAACAATAAGGGTCTAAAAAGATGATGAGGTAGCGCGCAACTTCTTCTCAACTTTATTGTTCAAATCTTAGCAATCTTTCATGCACAAGCAAAAGTTGTTGGTTCGAGCAAGAGTTGGCTGCTACCATTATCCTATAGCAATAGGAGGACACGAACGCCAAAGTCACGTATCTCTTGGCTCCTCTCCCCTTTGTTTACAATAGATACACTAATGTTAACTAGCACACCATAAATGTACTCATAAAACTTAATGAGCATAAAACTTGATGCTACATTTAGAATAGTCTCGGAGCAAGTAGACACAAACAAAAAGGAGTTTTTTTTTGCAATCAAAAAAATAATGTTCAATCCTCATTTGAATAATTCAATCTGTTAAATCAAATGCGTTAGATACAACAATGGATGACATACGGAAAGAATGAAAGGATGAATGACATCAATTTTTTTATTTTTTTTGCAAGTTGATGGCAATAAAATTACTCACAATGAAATGAGAGGAATTAGCCGTTGTCTTGGCAACTAAACACTAGAAGCATTACTTGGATGATAAAAAAAAATTGGTGAAAATTTAACATAAATTGTTAATTTTTGTTGAAAACTCAAAAAGATCTATCTAAACAAAAAATTTGATGAACAGAGTAATGTAACACTTCAATAAGAAGATTGTGTATGTGGACGATAAGAAACAACTTGCAGATGATTTTTTTTCAAAGAGTTTCGAGCATGTGAATTCTGCGGGGCCTTCTAAACAGGTTTCTACATTAATTTTGTGTCCTTGGCAATATGCGAGGTTCCCGGGGAGAACAACTTGCAGTTTGCGTACCACTTTGGAGATGAATGGGTCTCTTTTGTGAGCTCTAACCTGGCAACAAGAAGACAAGGTTTAGGGCTATGATAAAATTGTAAAACAAGTGTATTAATGCTGACTCTCCTTCTATGCACTTTGTGTTGATAAGCTCAATGTACTCAGTTGATCGGCGAATAAGAGTTGTTCTTAATGTACCGTTTGATGGATTTTGACCTGATGATATATATGTTTGGCTGGGGATACCATGTTGTTTGTTGAACTGTCTTCAAGAGGAACAGCAGCTCATTTGTCACTACGAATGGGAGTGTATATGGTTTTCAGCTTAAAACTTGGGTTCACTTGCATATAAGGCTCCCTCAATCTTTCAGCCTGTTGAATGGCCGAAGCTCCCATTCTTTGCAATATTGCTGGGGCTGTGCACCAACGAGTTGAGGAGCCGGTAAAGCTTTCTGGATTTCTTCGTAACGTCGAAAGCAACCTTTGTATGGGACGAGTCCCATGAAGAGAGGCAGTCTGCACTCTGAAATAGTTTATCTCTTATCGTCCATTTCTAACGACTTCTTCGTTGTAACCATCTTAGGACTATGACCGTCACATAGAGTTTTTCCTTCTTTTTTATCCTTTCATAGAATCTGAACCTTCCTGATTTCTCTACACAAGTCACAATTTCAAGCATCTTCATTCTCTCGTCATTACTTCCCTCTTGACGAAATTGTATCATGCTTTGTTATGTCCTTGGGTATGGAGCCTATACATTTCACGAATTATGGCACTTGTGAAGTCCAATTTGAAGTTGGCATGTATTTGAAGTGCCTGTCAAGAAGTACTCAAATCTCATGACTCAATGTTCGTAGTGGGTAGTGAAAGTTCTTGTTGCCTGCAAAGTTCGAATGTGTGATCAGTCCACTGAAGATGTAGATTTCTGAATGATCATGTGTTGGGACATACTTATGTATCTTATTATAATTCAAGGTGCTGCTCTTTTTCCTTATATGAGCTCCTTAGATGCACAGCGTGCGTACGCGACATGCATCGAAGTAACTTAGTAGTTCAGTTTAGATGTTTTGCATTTGAGTGAGCTTTGGAAGTTCGTTCAGAAATGTTAGGCAACGTTACTATGCTGTTGCATCATGCACCTGTGATTGAAAGTCTCAAGGTTCATAACTTCATTATTCGTCTTCTTATCCAGTTCAAAGCTATCCAGGTATTGGACATGCTCTTTGTCGGATTAAAGTTCTGATGCATCTGTAATGCGTTGTATAACGTCTATATGATCGTACCTCCCGGGTCTGAGCATATCCGATTAGAAAACTTTGTGAAAGAAGGGTTGGGAAGACTGGAGCCCAACATGATGAGGTAGGGACTATCAAATTGGTTCAGAACTTGGTGTAACATGTTGTTCAGGTATTTCGTTCACCAACATTACATTGTAGAAGCTGTTCGATCATTCTGAAATTGAAGTAACTAAATGGTCAATGATGTCTAATCACTCTAGGAAGATGAGTTGAATCCGAGTAACTTCAAGCTACTTTCATCTTAGTCAGTCTCAACGACTGGAGCTTATTGTCCATATACAGCGACTGATAACAGGGTTTCAACCAAACTATCGATTTATGGAAAAAAATGGCCTCTATGTTTGTTCTTCATTTTAAAAGATTGACTCAAACCACTTTGATGAATCTTTGTGGTAGATAAAAGCAAGCCTCCTCACACGATGTTCCGTTGAAGAAGATAATAAATAACACTGCAAGTATAAATAAATAAACAAATAAGTATACTTTAGATATATCGAAGTAATGATTATGGTAAGCACAAATAACCAGCAAAGCTTGGACCAGTGAGCGTTCTGCGCGACTTGACTCACTGCAACACCTGGCTGGTCAGAGCAGGGACCGAAAGGGAAGCGCAGACCAGCGTTCAAGACGACGGAAGGAAGGAAAGAAAGCGACGGGCTTTTTGTCGATGTTACACCACACGTGATTTTTCCCCAAGCGTGCAATGTGCGTGCGGGCCGCATGAACCTTGTCAAGGAGTGAGGAGGAAGCAGGATGATAGTGGTTGTAGATTTGGACATTGACGAGACGAGACTGAAACCGAGCGACAATCCTGTGTTTTACTGTTGTGTTATTTCCGCACCCTGGGCTGAGCTCAGCTCTGCACCTCGTCGTTAAGTCGTCGGGGAGAAGATTCTGTCACCGGAGGCGCAGAGAGTGAGAGACAATGAGCGTTATGCAAAAAAATTGCAGCGTGCAATTTTTTTGGCGGGGCACAGAAGAGTTGGATTGCTGCACTTTCGGCGGGATCATCGAGCTGGAAGTCTTTTGATCTCGAAATTGCATGTGCGTCGTAGAGTAATGTAGATGCTAAATTCATGTTGTTGTCGGGGACAACAGGAAGGCGGAATCAAGAATAATTCTCCGTGAAGAGGTTCCGAAATCTTTGCGTCGACGCACTGTGGGCTGGGAATTGTCTGCTATAGAGAAGTTTCGATAGGCATCTTGAGGAGCTTCAGGTGCCCCATATATTGGCTAATTCGCTCAGAGTTGTAAGCAACGCTTGCGTTGCGAGCAACGTCTGCTTTTCTTTGTGAAGGGCTGGAACTGTGCTGGAAGGTTATGGTGTGAGTTCGAGGTGAACCCTACGGTTTGTTTTTGCCGTTCGAATTCACGATGGTGTGGTGCAGCTACTGTGTGAAGGACCAGGCTGCTGAGCTTGACGAAATTAATGGTTTCACGTAAGTTTTTCGTCGTGCTTTCAAATGCGCATTTGGACTCAGTCCCAAACTGCATGTAGACACTGTCCGGATGTTTTTTCCGTGATTACTTTTTTACAACAGTTTCCTCTTGAAACATTTGAAGACTAGGTAATTATCTAGTCTTCAAGTGGTTCTCCGGATGGCATTCACTGTCATGTTTGCAAGTAAACTCACTACTATACGTTGGTGTTTATATTCTTTCTGTACTGAATTCTTGTTCCACGTCGGCCTTGGACTCTCTCGCAGGTGTTGTACCGGTTGTGGACGAGTATTAGACGACAATGTCTATGGCAGTGACCCCACATTCACGAAAACGTCTACTGGCCAGGTTAGATATGATCATCTTTGATCAAAGGAAAAAATTATCCGCGAAGTTGTGTTCGTTTTACGTCTCTACGGAAACTCGCAGAGGTGTGTCCTGTTTGTTTAACAATAGTGTCACCTCTTCAAACATGACAGAGTCAAGTGGAAGGAAATTTTGTCCGAGATGGAGGCAACAGTATGGGACGACTTGGTGTAAGTGGAGGTCGTATTCTTGGGTATCAGTCCGACTCTCATGAAAAAACGTTGAACAAAGGTATATTGCTATCGAAAGCAGTTGATTGGATCGTAATATTATTTTGTGTATCTACAGAAAGCCACTGTTTTCTCCTAGATTACACAGGTCAATGAAGATCCAGCTTAATGCTTTTGACGTTGTCCTTCAGGAAAGAATGAAATTCTTGATATTCTTGAGCGTCTTTCCATTCGGCCACGCGACGATACTGCCACACAAGCCCATCGGTTTTACACTGTACTACTCTTCTATTCTATATGGAATTTATGGTTGTATGTGTACAGACAATTCACGTCGTCATGTATAATCTTTTAAGTTTACCTTTTTCCTCCTGCGGTAGCTCCTTTGCTACAGTTGTATGGAGCTTTCATGTTGGGAAAACTTGTTGCATTAAAGTCCAACTCTGATTCTGGCACTTTGTATCTCCTTTGTCCTTTGTTGTAATGGGACTCAGATTGCTCTGGAACGTAATTTCACCAGGGGACGTCGAGTAAATCAAGTGGCCGCTGCATGCATTTACATAGTATGCCGGTATGTTACAACGTACCTCCACCCATAGTCCTCCTTTTTATCGCTGCAATTGGTAGTTTATCCTACCGAGAATGTTTGAAAGTTCGTCTGCACGAAGATATGAGCTTGATAGGGGTCGAGAGTTCGAACTACGAAGTGACTTTCTACTCTCACGTTTTCTTTCCGGCTTACATCGCAAGTTAATATTCTCTGTAGATGTATGTAATCAACCCAGTGAAGGCTTATTAGTTACAGTTGTCATGTTTTCCGAGTTTAGCTTCTCCGTTAGGACCAACTAAACCCTTTGTGCAAACAACCAACTATGTTGTAGAGGTGCTGTCGGGCACATACCCGTTCCTCGTTTCAGAATTTGGTCACTTTTGCTTGTGGGGTACGTTCGCCGAATAGATCATACCATCAAGATGTTACCTCGGCGTCTCGCCGTTGTTTTGTTTTCACAACGCATCATGCATTTACATCATAAGCTCAGCCATAGTCATATATTTGTTGATTTTGTTGTGCAGGCAGATGAACAAGCCTTACATGCTTATTGACTTCTCCGACTGCCTGCAGACCAATGTGTACGCTCAAAACTCTCTTTTGACAATGCATTTCCTTGTGGACGTGCATGTTCTTTTCTGCATGGCAGTATGTCCTCCAGTAGAGGAAATAATGCACTGAATCCATGTCTTTTTTCTTTGTATCCATCGTAAATTCAGGTATGTGCTGGGAGCAGTCTTTTTGCAGCTCTGCGGACTGTTACGACTCGAGGAGCAGCCCTTCCTTCAAAAGCCTGTCGATCCAAGCCTATTCATCCATCGGTTCGCAGACCGTATGACCTCTACTTCACGTCTTTTTCTTGATATTACTGGATTTCTCGGGAAGAAAACACGTAAGAAATTGCTTACTTACTGATTGACTTGCCAAACAGCAAGTTCTCTCTACAGTAAAAGTTGGGTGGTGATGATTCCGCAGGTTTGCAGTTCGGAAAGAAAATGCATGCGGTAGCCAATTTCGCCTTGCGGCTGGTGGCCAGTATGAAGCGTGATTGGATGCAGGCATGTCTCTGGACCTCGCTCCGTTTTGATCTTTCCCTCGATGTTATAGTGTGGCACTTACTGACAATCAACAGCATCAAACGGGGTGTTCAGGGTAGATAAGGCAAGGGTCCCATCTTTCTGCTGACATCATGCTTCGATCTTATGCAGACAGGGCGACGGCCTAGCGGAATTTGTGGGGCAGCATTATTCATTGCTGCGCATTGTCACGGTTTTGAGCGGTCAAAAACTGACGTTGTAAGCCACAAGAATACTCTGCTAATTTTCAGTAGATATATCCGTTTACTTTCAACGATCCTCGAGACCAGATGAAAAAACATTTTATCAATATGTATCTTTCTACCGCTGACTTGGCCTGTTTACAGGTGAGTGTGGTGCACATATGCGAGGCAACTCTCAAGAAACGGTTGGTAGAGTTCGAGAGCACCGAATCAGGAAGCTTGACTGTAAGCCATCTGCATAACTAGTTTGAAATCACGTGGTTCTTGGGGAGCTCATTTTTTTTACGGTCCATGGAATATGCTTGTAAGCTGATTGAGCTCTTCAGTCAATCCAGTTTCTCCACATGCTACTATATTCCTGTCAGTGCATAATTTCCGACTTCCTTGCTAAAAATGTAAATACTGTTGTACGAACTGCTTCTCTTAGGAGGTAACTTCTGTGGAAAATGCAGGGAAAAGTGAGCAGAGCATTCCCTGCAGATTGGCTTATTTGTTTGATTGGCTGGCGTGGCATGACGCAGGCCGAAGAATTCGACGTAAAAGCGCTTGAGATGGAAGTACAGATGAAGGCAGCAGTTGAAGCAGTCTCTGGCAGAAATAGTAAAGTCTTGAATGAGGTCATGTGTGAACATAAGGACATGGGAGTGGATCATTTTTCTCACGGGCTCTGCCGAGCCTGCTACGAGGAGGTGAATGTTTAGTCTAAAAATCTATTTATCTCTTGGACTTTTATTATGCGACAAGGCTACACTTTAGCTATTGCACTGTAATGACTGAAAATGCTTCAGGTTGAATAAGTTTTGTCGTCTGGGAGACTACTCAGGTTATGCCGCTGAAAATTCATTGCTCCAGTTTGTCAGGGTATCCGGGGGTATGCATGGTGGGTCTGCACCCCCTGCCTTCCAAAAAGCGGAGCTCGAGCGTTTAGAAGCTGTGAGACAAGAATTGAAGTCTCAGGGTCTGGATTCCGACGAAGAGGATGAGTATGGCAGACAACAAAGAGTCGGCCTTATATCAGGGAAAGGAGGAAAGCCTCCACTCAATGCTTTAGCCGGAGAGAAAGCTGGACGTGGACGGGGAAGGGGAAGAGGTCGTAGCAGAGGAAGGGCTGTATGGAGTAAAGAAAATCGATCCGAAGATTCCAATTTAGAAGTACCTTTAAGCGAGGAATATGACAGAGCACAGGCTAATGCAGGTAGACGAGGTAGAGGAAGAGGGAGAGGTAAAAGGGTAGAAGGGAAGGATATCTCAACCATTTGTAGTCACGAGGCCATCGGGGTTGAAGTCCACACTAGAGAGGGAAGTATGCCTAGTAGGGAAGATATCAAGGTGGTTGAAGACGTTGAAAAGGAAAATGGTGTTCTTACACAGGAAAGTAATATAGTATCTTGGTTTGAAGGTGAACTTGAAAGAAGTGAAGAGGGTCGCGTTGTTGAGAAGGTTATAGAGGTATCGAAATCTGAAGCTCAAACGCAGGAATCGCAGAAAGTAGTGGCAACTCTTGGAAATCAAGGTGCTCTGCCAAACCAGAAGGATCCTGCAGGAAGAGACCGATACAACGACCAAGCAGACGTTCGATCAGCCCTTGCATCAGAATCTGAGATTAGTTCGCAGGGAGAAACCTTTGAAGCTAAAGGCACGGGAGAAGATCCTGCTCACGCTTCAACTCACATGAAAGTTAGTGGAGATGAAGATCTTCATGATGAAAATCTTCATGATGGCAAGGCTGACAACGGTATGGATGAAGCTGAGACAAACGAGACACTTTCAGATATTGACGATGATGAGGTACGTACTTCAGCTGTGTCCTCCCGTCAAGTAACTTTCGTCTCCACCTTGCTCTGCTTCCAATTCGAGGTAGGGGAAAGGTTTCAAGACTTAGAGTTTGCGTAAATTTCTGTAGTGTCGCAGTGTAACTGTTGGAAAATGCTTGGGACTGAGGCCACGATGATAGCATGTGTTTCTCAGGACCATAAGGCAGAGAAGCAAGTTCTCCGCACTGCCTTTACTTACTTCTTTCTAGTGAAGCAAAATTGCGTGCCAAATTCAGTCAAACACTCTTTTTGATTATTATTGTGAAATTTGTTGTTCAGCTTGTAGGCTACTTACACAATGACGAGGAAGTTCGACTGAAGACCATCATCTGGACTGAACTGAACAAAGACTATCTGCAGGTAACTCATCAGTTTCTGCATATATCGTATGCAGAGTGCTGATAATGTCTTGACCTGTGTGATGTCTATTCTTTGTTACAATGTTGCACCTTATAGTCACTTTTTGCCGAGTACTTGTGTGAACGCCAGCGGTTTAGGGTTTAGGGTTTAGGTTTACCTATTTTCTTGCCTAAAAAATGCTCCCTTTGTACAAGATTCTGCTTATGGTCTTGACGATAGTTAGTGCAAATTTTATGTGTATTATTACTTCTGCTCTTAGACGGAAAGTTGCTAAAATACAATTTAATAAACATTATCCGATACAGGAGCAAGAGATCAAGCAGGCTGCGATGGCAGCCACTGAGGAGGCTCGTGCAGCCGCAATTGCTGCTGCAGCATCAAATTCTGCAAGTGCAGTAGAGCTTGCTGCAGCAGCCGCTGCTGCGGTCGCTAAGATGAAGAAGGTACTCCTTGCATACACGGTCTGATTGTCCATTCATCTCCAACTCGCTTTCACTTCGGATTTCAACCATATTCGCAGAGGAGTCAAAAAAATTCGGGAATGAAGCTTACACTAATTCTTCTGAAGTTAAGTGGAGATAATTCTCAATCACGTCCTATGCTTAACGTGGTGTCTATGGACGCAATTCATGAAGGCCTAGACTCGGTAATGAAGAGATCACGGACTGGAGAGAGTATGAAGGAAGTACTATCAAGAGATCAGTTGATGAATTCTGGAGGTGCAGTTCTTTCTGTACTAATGTACAGGAGGATCGTTCCGATGACTTACTCGTGCAAGTGACAGTAACTTGATTGCCGTACGTTGAAATCACCTGAGAGAAGTGCTGTTTTTCATGTGCTTCACAGGATCGCAAACAAAGGAGAGCAGATGAAGCCAAGAGAGGGCCAGCTGCGTCTGCAGCTGAGGCAACCCAGAAAATGCTTGAAAGCAAGGTACTTGCTGCATGGAAAGACAGAGGCATCACAATTTGTTAACTTTGAGTTTATGATTGATCATCGTTAGAAGATTGGATACCTTAATGTTGTCACCAATCATGGATTTATCATTCATTTTTTGCTGATTTTCAGAAGTTAAGCACAAAAGTGGACTACACCGTGCTAGCGAAATTATTTGATGGGGATGTAAGTAATCTTACAATCGCTATAGTCTTTGATGTTACTCCAAGGAAGGGAATTGTCGTCAAACCTGAGTTCAGCACTTTCATGAACGTGTGCAAATCTTAGTTTCTTCCTCTTCCAACTATTATAGGACAGTCAACCACATGATGACCAGTCTTGCTAGTGGACAGTATAAGCTTTAGAAGATGAGGATGAAAGAGATATTATATATGTGAATAGCATTTTGCACATGTTTTCAGGGAGTTTCATGTTTCAGTGAACACCTTAGGTATTTATGCTGCAGCTTATCATGATGTCGGTTGGACTTTCAGTTACTAATTAATTTTTTTGTATCGCAGGAAGCTGAGAAGCACGACAGCAGGAAGGGAGCAGCGAAGGACGAAGATGGAGACAGTGAGGCTTTTAACAGGAGTAGCAAGAGATCACGTTTTAGCAGTCAAAACGATTTCAGTCAAGCCGATTCTGTCATCACACAAATAAGTGCGAGGTCGCAACTGAGGGAGGTAGATTCCAAAGGAGGTGACGTGGTTGACATGAATGAAGGAGATGAAGGGGAGATAGATGAAGAGGAAGGGCTGGCTGATGATGGTGAGATCGAGGGTATTACGTATGAGTATGATGAGGGCGATGAGTACTACGACGAAGAGTATTGAAGGTTCTTATGGACGGCAAGGATTTAGATGTTTGTGAGAACTGTTCTTAGATGATTATTAACGTACATATGTCAGGTACAGGTCAAGAGAAATTCAAATCTAAAAGGTACAGCTCCTCAGTAACACATTCTTTTAGGGAGCTGTTGTAAAGCCAGAATAGAAAATTTTGACGGTTCATGTCTGAAGACGACTGTAAATAATGCAAGTTCACGAGAGAGTTGTATCTATAGTGCAGTGTTTGTAAAGGCTTTTGATAACAGACCCTGCGTCCTGGATGGAGCTGCTGGATGCAGACATGGTTGAGAAGAAAGAGAATTAGATATTTACGAAATGAGAGGATCCAAAACATAAATATACCAAAGCTCAGTGGATGGAGTTCCATAACAGATACGAGTCTCGTTTCAAGTCCTAGAACATTTATTGTAAAACCTTTCAATAATTATCAAAGGATATTTGGTCTGAAATATGTCCTTGCATCCATGTCTAGCCTGTGACAATGTGGAACTCACTGAAGTTATTAGACGTTCCCCTAGCCGACCCAACAAGATTTCGACTTTTTCCTTGGCTTGTTTGCAGTCTCAGTTTAATCACTCCGTAGGACTCCAAATTTGTGAACTTTCAATCTGCGAACTGCAGTTTCCATATGTTTATGAAGGCCAAATGTCCCAAATCGATACCAATATGTCCACGATTAATGACGGCCAACGGCTCATCCGTGTTGATATCTCGAAGGATTGAAATTTCACGTCAATCAGTAATGGATGCCGTCCTAACGTGAACTAGCGTGGCACAAGGGTCAACTGGTTGTATGTGACATTTATATATGTTGATTTGGCCATTTATTCAAATGGCCAAATCCGAGAAGTCAGTGACTCATACAGTGCTTCAGCAGAACTTTGAAGCGGTTCGCGGTTAGGGTTCGGCTCTAGAGCAGACCTCATAAATTCTCGCAAATGCAGGTTTGCGAGAATTAATTTTTTCTTGCAAATTTTTCATTTTAATTCTGGCATTTGCTCTAGAGCTGCATTCATAAATTTGCCAAATTTTTGGCAAATGCCAAGTTTTCCAAAATTGAATTCATTTTGGCAATTTTTACCATCTTAACTCTAGCATTTGCCAAACTTCAAATGGTATTATCATTATAATCTCCATAGAACTTCCAATATGTGTTTTGATAGGAGTGAAATCAACTTGTTAATTCTTCAATCTTAGCAATTAGAGCTCTGGGTGAAAAATCAATCAAAACACTAAACTAATAGTTAGTCGCATAAACGAAGATGAACCGGTAGATGAAATATAAAACTTTCTTATATGAATAGGAATGAATTAAATAATCTCATTTCTGGCATAAACATTTTCATTTCATTATATTTTGTCTGATGGCTTGGAGGTAATCGTTTTGAATGTTTCAAATTACTTCAAATGAATAAAGTAAATGCTTGTCAAGTTGGTGTTGCAAATAGTTATTCTTACTACATCTTGAGGAGGTAAGTTCAAATTGGGAGTGCAATCACATTATTCTACTTTACTCTCGATTTTCCCAAACTCAACTCGCGGATTCTGTGTCGGCAACATGCAGTAGTTCATTACGGGACTCGTCAAAATCTCCTACGTTAATTCACTCCTCTCGATGACTTCCCCTTCGAGCATCCAAATGCTTTGCAACTATGGACGCGCGTGGTAGCTCCCTCATTCTTTATAAAGTATGGCAATTTGAAAAGATTATTTCTGGCAAATTTGACGTCTAAAAATAGAACGCCAGATTTTATGAGGCATGCTCTAGAGTATAATCGATATAAATCACTCACCATTGTGTCTCATGCCCCTCCTGTCTAAAAGGGATTTTTTTTTTTTTTTTACTAAAACCCAGTTATTACTTGGGCTTGCTATATACTGGAAATGTGGAAAAGTTCCTCGAGTTTATCTTGAGATCTACCTCTAGTACAGTTGGTGCTTGATAGTTGGTAATTGAGGTTATTTGTTTAATTGTAAAAGTATGGGGACTGCATTTTGATGGACTTATACCAACGATCAGATTCATGAGTAGAGATGGAATGCAAGATTTACATAAAGATTTGTCTCTACACAATCAAATCTATTGTATTACTTGATAGATTGAAAAGATGGAATACACAAACATTTTTGTTATGTTTCAAAATTAGTTTCCCTTCATCTTTCTTATTGGTTAAAAATGGGCAGAATCACCTGAAAAGTACTCACATATACCTTGTAAGTGACACACAAAATCTTGTGAAAATTTAGAAATATTAGACTACATCAATACTCATAAATTTAACATTTTATTGAAAGATGTCAACTTTGCCACAAGAAAAATTGGGCCCGATGCCATATATCACGTATAGTGATTCTTTGGCTACAAATTAGATTTCATGTCATGTATCTTTAAAGTTTGCACACAATGCGTAAAGTTTATAGGATGCATGACGTACTAGGAGAGCGATTGCGAGGTATGTGGGATTACTACTTGCATCAACACTTAGATGTCATGAAACGTCATTCAATTAATGATATAACATTCAACACGATCTCAAAATTTCAAAATATTTTGCTTGAGACTAAGAGGTGAAATTGTCAAATGTCAATTTTGCATCTTTGATAGAAGGAATAGCTTGAAAGCTGCTAGTGTGAAGCAAAAGATCACTAAAAACATTCAACTCTGACACTTTTTGTTTTGATTTGAGCTAAAAAAAAGAGCATATTGAAACGTTACATGAAAATGATTGGACATTGTATCTATATTTGAGTAGAAGGTGAGATTTTGGTGAGAAGCTTAAGAGTGTATAAAACTTATATATGGATAATAAATTGAATAATGTCATTTTTGAAATCTCTATACCCCTTGCCAATTTGTTCTTCAAGCCAAAAATGTATTAGAAATATGATGAAATAAAACTGATTTTGAAGACATAGTATTTATTTTCAAAATTGGAAATCAATAAGTTTTTTGGCAAATGTATTGTCATCATCAAAGATTTTTTGCGATTTGGTTATTTATTGACCACACAAAAACAAATATATCGTTTAGGTAGTTTGCTTCTGTCATTATCTCACATTATAATCGTATTAAGAACAATAAACTGGTCGAAATAATCCATCATTTGATTGAGAATATTGTAAAAATCATGCTTTCTGTTTCATTACCACTCGTTTTTACGATGTTGTGCGATTCGTCCGTGTGAATTTTCTTATTGGCCGCTAATTGTACGCATCAAGAAAAATTATTGTTGGAATAGTGAATTTGAGTTTTTTGACTAAGTGTTAAGTATATTGGTGTTGTTTTGGCATCGTCATACTCCAATAAACTACAAGAAGTTGATCAACATGCTTTTGAAATTGCTTTGTACTATTTATATTGACAAAGTAATTTCTATCAGCTCTGATAACAAAAACACAATAATAACACAAATCCTAGAAGTTGTCGCATCGCTTGTGAGGCAAATTGGAAAAGTTGTCATATGTCTAATATGAATGTGTTCAAACAAAACTCTCCGCATTTGATGCACTCCTCATTGGCTGAATTTGTCGTCAAGCAAGGAATCAACAACGTTGAAAGTGATGATTTCTAATAGACAATTTCTGCATTTTCAGTTTGCCTACAAGCACAAGTCAACATGATCAACAATTTAGAAGGATCAAGAGGTTTCAAAGACACGACGCAATAGATAACATTTGGTGTTCTATTCAAATGAATTTTACAATATATTTGGCAATTTTATCAAGACATTGAGGATGATATAATGAGAACATGATATAGTAATAATAATAAAAAATAACGTCATGTTTTAATGCCATCTCTGTGATAAACATGTCTAACCTAATAGCTTACTTTGTCAATTTTGCTACCGCCACATATTCAGCTTCCGTTGCAAACTGAGCTACACATTTCTGCAAGGTAGATGTCAAATTAATGCTTTCATCACCAAGTATAAACACACACCCAATTGTAAATTTTCTCTAGTCTAAATATAAGCCATAGTCAACATCGATGTCAAATTAATGCTTTCATCACCAAGTATAAACACACACCCAATTGTAATTTTTCTCTAGTCTAAATATAAGCCATAGTCAACATCAACGTAGCCTAACATGGATTTTACATTCTCTAATGAATGATCAAACAGTAAGTCATAATCCTTAGCATTCTTCAAATACTTGAGAATAAATTTCAGTACTTCACAGTGAACCTTCATTAGATTCAACATGTACATACTCATCTTGCTCATTGCTAGAGCAATATGAGGCCTAGTGCATACCCTCAAATATATGAGTCTATCCACAGCTTGTTCATAAAAAATACATGACATTTTTCTTTACACAACGACATCGGAAGTATATTGAGATGCAAAACGTTTAAAATATGCTCTCAAAGCAATACATACTTCTTTAAAATTTGTCATGTTGAACATGTTATATATATATATCAAATATACTAAACCATAGACATTTTTTCACCAAATTCTTATAAATATTCATTTTTATTATTCTCTTCAACTCTTCCAAATTCTTCATCTTAAATGCATACTTCAACTCGTTCTTGCATTTATCAACGTTGAAATGGTTCTTTGTCAAGATGAACATGTTATCTATGTGAAATACAAGAATAATAAGAGTAAAAATCTCATTATTCATCTTTTTCATGTAGACACAAGGATCCTACACACTACTTAGAAAATCTTGTGTCTTCATATACTTGTCAAAACGCTTGTTCTATTGATTAAAGCTTGCTTTAGTCCATATAGTGATTTTAGTACTCAACAAATCAAATTAATGACCACCTTTCACCTCAAAGTCAATTGGTTGTCTCATATAGATCTACTCCTCTAAATGCTAATAGAAAAAAGTTGTAATCATGTACATATGATCCATAACAAGACTAATTATCGCAGCTAGAGCGCATACTAGACGAATTGTATTATACTTTGCTATAGGTGATAAAACTTCATTGTTCAAACCTTTTTAATTTCAATCCACAAATACGTTGAATAATCATCAATGAATGATACATCATACAAAATCCTAGAGAGTGAGGCAATAGGAGATGATGTCCACACGTCACTATATAAATATTCAAGTAACTCATTGGATCTATGAATCCCAACATCAAAGGCTTGCGTGTGCTAATTGTTCATGATATAGTGTTTGCAAAACGTCAAGTCAAATTTACTCAAATCAAGTAACAACTTTCTCTCATCAAGGAGTAACATGTACTTATCACTTTTGTGTCATAGCCTAGAATGTCATAGATGAGACATTTCAACTCAAAATCCAGTAAAGTGAACTTACCCACATATGATATTGTTCTCTAGCATGCACATATTACTGTGCCTGTGTCCTCAAAGAATAATCTTATCATCTTATCAAACGCCTAACACGCAGTTTTTAGAGCTACACTCTA